TATGCCTGGGCTTTCTCTGGCAAGAGGAGGGGTCTGAGGAGCGGTTTACTGAGGCAGCGAGTGGGGCTGTGATATGATGACAAGTGACACTTACTTGGCTCTTTCTTGTGCTGGGCCCTGTTCTTAGCGCCGAGTCTGAAGACATTGCATCCTCCCTGCACCCCATGAAGTAGGTTCTGTGACTTGCCCAAAGGCATACCGTGTGCTGCAGAGCTGGGATCGGAACCCGGGCGCCCTGCTCTGGCCACTGGGTGACATGGCCCCCAGGGATGCTGGCCCTATTCCGTGTGCGGCCGTGTGTTGTGTTGCACTGGCACCGCGACCGCCTGTGGGGTGTGCCCGGGACCCACGGGGTGCCTGGCTTGATGACAGATGAGGTGGGGGTGGGAGGTGGGTCACATAGCTCTTGGATGCCCCCACTAGCTGGCTGGGTAACCCAGCTCTTCCTCACTGCTGGGGGAGGGGAGATCACCCTGCCATGGGGAGGCGTGTGTTGCTGGCACACAGCAACTGCTCAGGAAGCCCTTCTGAATCAGCCAGGATGGCGAGTTGCCAAGGGCAGAAACCCCAGGCAAATGGGACCCCGGCCCCCAAGGAAATGCACTGACTCTCGAAAGGACAGAGGGGAGCGCAGAGGGCAGGTCTGGGATCCGGTGCAGCTGGAGGCAGTCATCAAACCAGATGGTCAGGATCCTGCCTGCCTCCAGCTCTGGCCTCGGCCTGCCTTGTGTTGGCAAAATTCTCAGGCCACCACCGAGGCAGGATGGCCATTAGCGCCTCCAGGCCCCCAGGTGCTGGCTTAGCCTCTCCCCAGCTCAGGGACTGGGCTGCCTGCCCTGCAGCCGCCTGGGCTCACAGGCCCCTCTTGAACCAGCCATGGTGTCCGGGGGTGTGGCTTGCCCTGGACGGCCAGGCCTGGGAGCCAGGGGAGCCCACTCTGGACCAGCCCCCACCCCAGCAGGCCACTGCCAAGCCCCTCTCCCCAGACAGCACCCGGCACTGGGTGCAGCCGCTCTCTCCTGGGGTGATGTCAGGACGAAAGTACTCCTTTAAGGCAAAATTACTTACCTAATTAGGCGCTTGGGAGCTGGCAGGAGGTAGTGGGGGTTTTTGTTGATTTTTTTTTTTTTTAGACTTTTAGCACTGAAGCTGCGTGATAAAGTAACTGTGTAATTAGGAATTAATTTCTCACTCCTGCAAGTGATGTCTTACTTGGGGCCTGAGGGAAGGCAGCTGGGTGGTTATTCACCCACAGAGTGGCCGCTCCTCACCTTCTCCTTTTTTGAGGGGGGGGGTGACTCTCACGACTGTCATGAGGGGAGAAGGGGGGGACAGGAGGTAGGTGCTTCTGACACAGGGTTATTCTGCTAAATGTTTTCTCAGTGCCTCCTGTGTGGAACAGGGGTGTCTGAGGAAGAGAGGGGTGCGTGGCCCATATCCAGCCTGTCCACAACACCCCCCACTAGTTAGATTCTGAGGCACACTTCACAGTCTCTCGGGGATCCCCAATGGGGCTGTACTGCATTTCTCCACTGTGGTGACCTGCTTATGAGCAGACCCTCTCTTATTCTTTTCCCCTCCTCCCTCCAGGGGCCTGGACTTCGGTGTCAGACGTCAGGGATGTGGCCTGGGGTTACCTCCTAGGTCAACTGCTGCTCCCAGGTTGCTCAGGGTCTGCTTTGAAGGCAGCCAGACTGGGCAGGAGGTGTGAGCTGAGGGTGACAGGGAGGGGTGACTTCAGCCCTGAGGAGCAGGGAGGGCTGAGCAGGGCTTGGGGGTGGTCTGGAAGGAATGAGCATGAGAAAGAGGATTACAGAGCAAATGAGGCAGGGGTGGGGTGTGCTGAAGAGCTGGAAGGGGTGGGGGCGGCTGGCGTGGTGCCTGGGATGTGGGGTGGAATAGCAGGAATTGCAGGGAGGTGGCTTGGGCCAGGCGGGAGGGCCTTAAGGCCCTGGTCAGGGGCTCAGACTTGGATGTGAGTCAGTGGGAAGTCATTGAAGGCTTACTTGGGGAGTGACACAGCCAGATTCAAGTGTTAGGGGGTTTGTTTCTGCTGAGGAGGGACTGTGGGGGAGGCAGGAGACAGGAGACCAGCTGGGAGGCTGCAGTGGCTGTCAGGAAGTTGTGGCCCCACAAGGGCAGGACTAGGGTGCACCCAGTGGGGCTTCCATCACGACTGGGCTCCCAGGGCAGCTGGCTGTGTGCTCAGCCCGTTCCTCCCCATCCCTGTCCAATGTCCCTGTGTCTCCTCTCCTCAGAGGAGGATGAGAGCTGCTGGGCTCGTCTCTCTGCACCTGCTGTGTGTGCTTTAGCTTTGAATGCATTGGTACCTGGCCTTGCTCTCCCAGAGGGTGACGTATCTGCAGCAGATGCCATTTCGGGGGCTTTTAGTGGGGATCCTGAGGGCTGCAGCTGATGAAGTGGACTGGAGGGCAGTTCCCATGTGGAACACCTGGAGAGTCAGGTCAGGGGTGGAGAGCAGGGCCAGTGTGACACCCCTGGTCTCCCAGGCAGTGGCTGCTTCAGCCCCTGTCAGATGGGGCAAGGTCAGGTCAGCTTCTGATGACAGGGTGGGGTCTGGGAGGTGTTCAGACCCTGCAGCTTACTAACTCGTGTCTTGGGGACACCGAGGCCCAGCTTGTGTCCCCTTGGGACCCAGGGGCTGTCCCCTGCCCCTACCTCTCCCGTTTTAGAGAAACACAAGCAGAGGGAACCGAATTTCTCCCCATGGGGCCTGAGTTCTCAGGGCCCCTCTAGAAGTTTACTCACTGAGTTGGCGCTTCTCTCTGTCAAGAGCCGGCGGTTACACTGTGGCCAGCCCTGTTCTATGGGGGTGGGGGCATAGTGGGGAGTCAGGGCTGGTGGGTGGCGCTGAGGGCTCCCATTGTGGTGAACCTGGGTGTAGCTTGCAGCCTGGGGTCTGCGCTGGGCAGGAGAGTGTGCAGGGGGACGGCAGGATCCGAGGAATTAAGTGGTTAAAACGTTTGCTTTTCTCCATCGACCCATTCGTCTGTGAAGCACCTACTTATTTTTATTGTGAGACTCCATGGGGATGGGAACGGTGGCTGACTGGCACCTGCTGGAGCCTGGCAGGTGCGCCCTGGGGTTCCAGTACCTGGCGAGTTCAGTCTGGCATGGGCTGAGAACCCCCATCCCCAGCAACCCAGAGAAGCAGGAACTGTCCCGGGAAGCAGCTCTCTGGCCGTGCCCCTCCCCATGGCAGGAGGGAGCGGCCAGGGCAGAAGGAGGGGTCCTGTGTCCGTGGTGGGCTTGAGGGGGCCTGGCTGGGCCTGGGGTGGCTCTCCTGGGCCTGGAGTGCACGTGCGTGTGCCCGGTGTGCCGCCCCCACAGGGCTGCCGTCACACGCATCTCCCAGGCTGCCTGGAGAGCTCTTTCTACAAAATATGAAAATGACAGCTCGGCTCAACCACGCGTGCGGAATCCTCATGCAGCCCCACTCCCTGGGGGCCCTTCTCAGACCACCCTCTGCCTTCCCCACCACCCCTAGGAGCATCCCCTCCTGGCCCCTCTCTCCCCTCCCCCAGCGTCCATCTCTAGTTCTAGATCTGTCACTTTGACGCCTCCTCATCTGAATGTGGGCGTGGGGGTGTGTGTGTGAGGGTGTCCGAGGAGTGAGCGAGCCTGTGTGCCCGTGGCTGTGTGCAGTGCATGTGTGTGAGAGCACGCGCGCGAGCGGGCGCGTACAGACACAGGCGCCAGAGCCTGCGTGTGCCCTGGAAAGCTGGGGGTGGGCGGATGGAGGCCTTTCAGGCAGAGGCACTTTCACTCAATTACTCTTCAAGCAGCGGGAGGGGGCGGCGGCCTCACAACAGTTGGACAGGTTTGCATGGTATGTAGGAAAAGCCTTCATTTCCCGCTGATGGTAGTGACAGGTGGAGCTGGCAGCAGCGCTGGAGCCCAGTGTGGGGGCCGTGGTGGGGGCAGGGCTCCCCAGGTCAGGCTGGAGCTGTAGGTCCCAGGGGGCCTGTGTTTCCGTGGTGGAAGCTTTGGTTGCTTCCACCACTTTCACGGAGTGGTCCCCAGAGATCTGGGAAGACTTCCCGGAGGAGGCAAACTGCTTTCAAGGTGCTGCTGGGCTGGTGGTGGGAGATAACTAAGGCCTTGTTGAGGATTCTAGTGTGTTTGCCTTTGAGTCTCTCCCCTGCTGGAGTGGGTGCTCCTGGGGGTCTGAAGCATTCTTGGGTCCAGAGCACGCGTAGGCTGGCCTGGTTCATTGTGGTTGCTAGTGTGGGAAAACTTAGACTCCAGAGGCATTTGCACACACCTTAAAGCTTGAGTAAGGTTTCCATGGACAGAGAGGGGGCTGCATTCTGGCGGAAGGAACAGTGGGAGCTGCGCCGGTGTGGGCAAGTGCAGGCAGCCCATGTGGAGGGGGCTGGGCAGGGCTGGCTAGGCATGCCAGGAAAGAGTGGATTATCCCCCGGGCAAAGGACAGGCTGGGAGACTTGGCCTGTGACATTCGGCCTGTCATGAGCCTGTGGGGAAGCTGGGGGCCCGGGAGAGTAGGGAGCTGGCGCCTCTCCCCATTCCATTGGCTGGGTCGCCCGGGGAACCTGCAGGCGCCTCACCTAGAGCCTCCTCTGCTGTCTGTAAATCCGGCTTTCATGGGGGCTGGTGGGCCCCTGGCCCCCTGCAGGGCCTCACTGATGCTCCCAGCCCCTCATTTCTCTGAGGAGCGTGGTGAATCCTTCCTGTTTCAGAGGCTGCTCTGGACGCTGGACCAGGGCCACCCTACACAGGGCTGGGCTCGCAGCGGGACCCCACGTCTCTGCTCCCTGTTGCCTCTGGGCTTCTGCGAACAGTTTATGTGACTGTTCCCAGCCCCGCTGACAGCGGAGACAGGCACGGGGACAACCTGTGGCTACACAACCCATGGGCTTACGGGTTCTGGCCCTTTGCCACTGCCCTGTCCCCACAGGGCAGGCGGTAACCACCCAGCTGCCCCCGCTCTGTCCCTCACTACGCCCCTCTCTCCACAGGATGGTCGAGTACTCCTTGGACCTGCAGAACATCAACCTGTCCGCCATCCGCACCGTGCGTGTCCTGCGGCCCCTCAAAGCCATCAACCGCGTGCCCAGTGAGTTGCCCCCAGCCCTGCCCCCAGCCCCTTGCTTGCTCTCAAAAGACTGACCAGCTTCTTCCATGCGAGGCCTGTGCTGGGCACGGGGACCCCTCACTGAACCCACAATGTGGGCCCTGCTCCCTGTGGGCTCATTGGCCTGTATTTGGGCCTGAAGATGCTGGAAGGGACCCTGACGCCATTGTGTTCCCAGCCACTTGGATGACAGCTTTCTGGGGAGTCTGGCTTTTCAGGGACAAGGTTGGGGGCTGTCAAGGTAGCGTGTATATGCATGTAAGCTACTTTGCTTGCGGGGGGCGGATATTGTTTGTGCAGCATTTCCCTGGGGAGGGCTCCCTCACCGCTTGTGCCGGCTGACTTAGGGCTTGCGCTCCACCCACCCACTCAACCCTCCGCCTGCTCGCACTGCACCCCTGGGCCCACATACCTACCCATCTGCTCGTTCGCCACCTCACATTGAGAGGTCATCTCATAACAGCAGGCCTGACATCTGCCCAGCTGTGGCTTTCCGAGCCTTCACCTCCATGACTTCCTTTGAACGTCACACCTCGGGTGGGAGGTGACTTCTCATGAAAAGCAGAGATGAAGAGACTGAGACTTGGAGGCAGAGGCACCTGCCCGGCCTGCGGGCTCAGGGCCACGTTCCGGGATCTTTGTGGAGAGGGTGGCAGGGAGGGTGGCCTGGTTCCTGTTTCCGTGGGAGAAGGCAGTTTGGCTCAGGTTGGGCGAGGCACGTAGGGGCCCCTGGGCCGCACATCCAGGGCCATCTCCCCACCCTTGGACCTTGGGCATGAAGGGAAACTCCAGGGGCCCTGAGAGCGCTGTGAGGTCCTGGGGGGAGGGGGTGAGGAGGGAGGGAGTAAGTGGGGAAAACCAGTGAGGTGGGGGGAGGGGCAGTTGGGCTGTACCACCTTTGCCTCCTGCTGCCCTAGGGAGACTGGGGGGGGGGCAAGAGAAGGGATACCCTGAGGGGGCATCCCAGGTGCCAGTTTCTCTCTGTCCTTCCCAACCCCACCAATACTGCATGACCCCCAAAAGATCACCTACTTCAAAGCCATCTTTACCCCTATTACCACACGAGTACGGTGAGGCCCAGAGAGGGCCAGGACCAGCTTGAGGTCACCCAGCAGGGGCTAAACTGAAGCCCAAGATTCTAACCATTGCCCTGGAGCCCACGGCCCTCCACCGCCCTGGAGATCTGGCGCATCTGGGGTGACTCACGGGCCTTTGTACACGACCCAGCACTGTGGTCTCAGAATCTGGCAGATGCAAGACAGGGATGTCATGGACATTTGAGAAGAGAAGGTTTTGGAAGGAGGAAGATGGGGGCACAGACTGGGTAGGGGCTCTCTGGGGGTGAGCTTGTACATCTGTGTACCCACAGAGGCCACGTGTGTGAATGTGCGGGCAGGTGGGCCGTGTCCATGTGGGGCACACGGCCACAGTGGGGTGTGTGCCGGTGGTGGGGGGTGTGCATCCCACGGCCTCCCATCTCCGGGCTTCCTCCTCTTCTGGGGCTCGGTCTTGTCAACAGTAGCCTGTCACTCTCACGCTGACCGCTAGATGGCAAACCAGAGAGCCGGGAATGGCAGCGTCAAATTAAGGGTTATTAATTGCAAAGCTGTGGAGAGCGCGTGGCTGCCTGCAAAGCCTCAACACAGTCAGCCTGGAAGACTCGGTCGGGGTGTTTGTCAGGGAATGCAAGTTCAGCTTGTCAGCTCAGCCAGGAGCCCGCTGTGTGACCTGGGGAGTCTCTTGGTGTCTCTGGGCCTGTTTCCCGCCTTGCAGGAAGGAGCAGGAGGGGCTGGATTAGCTGTGTGGTTCTCAACGCCCCGTCAGGGATGGGCGGGGCACCAGGAGTGGGTTGCTCTTTTCAAAACCTCCACCCACCCCTGCAGGTCTCTGGCCACTCAGTCTCCGGTGTTGGATGAAAAAAGGAAGGAGCCAGCAAGGAGGAGAAGGCTGGGCCGGGAGGGAGGAAGCACCTCCTGTGAGTCAGGAGGCTGGATTCTGGTTCCCTGTGGTGCGACCTTTCATAAGGCACTGTCTCTTTCTGCGCCCTGGTAAGGCGGGGCTGATTATCTCAAAGGTCCCGCCTCCCTGTGCCAGCCAACTTCAGGACTCACCAGGCCTGCAGGCCCCTCAGGCCCTGCAGTGCCTCCGGAAGCCCAGGCCAAGCCATTTAAATAGGAAAAGTGCTTTTTCTCCTCCAGTGAAAAATTGGGGCAGTCACTGCTGGGGCCAGCCCAGCTAGGTGTGGAGGGAGGTGGGTGCAGCCCAGCCAGGTGTGGAGGGAGGTGAAAGGTGGGGGCTCTCAGGAGGCTGCTGGGGATGCCCCTGCCCCTTCCAGCTCACAGTCCCTGCTTCCCCAAGAACCCCTTGGGGCTGGCCCTAGGGTGGGGTGTTGTAGGCAGGGGAAGACCAAGGGCCAGGAACTGCGCCAGGGCCCCAGGGCCTGCACTTGGCCATGGTGGGCCTCTGGGCAAGCCGTGCTCCTCTAGGGCCCCCTCTTCTCCAGTGGTCAAAGGGGTAGTAGTCCCAATTTCTGTACAGTTTTTAAGGATGAAGGATGTGGGTAAAAAGCTTAGCACACAGCCTCGCCTGCAGTAAGCGGCCAGCAGGTGTGAAGAAGGTTCGGGAGCCTTGGGGATGGAGGGTGATGCATCAGCACATCTTTGTGGCGGCTCCTTCTGGAAGATGCTCACCAAATATGGGGGGCTCGGGAGGTGCTCCTGGCAGAGCAGGAAGCTCTGACCCTGGGCCACATCGTGGCTTTCTGTCTGTCCCTGGTACCCACAAGGGGTCTCCAAGCCTCCCCATAGGAGGTCCCCCTAGGGCTCTCCCTGGTAGACCTCAAGGGGAAGGAAAGGAGGGAGGAAGGTGGGGAGAGAAGAGGGAAGATGGGGTGGGGCCCAGGTTTCTCAGGGCTGTTGCCTTTCTGGGGTTGGAGGTGGGGTGGGTGGACATCTGGCCAGGACATCTGGTGAGACCTGGCTGGGTAACAGGACTCTGAAAGGAGAAAAACTTGGGAGTGGGGCCAGGGTGAGGGCAGCCCCCCAGGTCACAGATCAGGAGGGAGCGATTCCTGGAAGGGACACCAGACCAAGGGGGTAGGCCACTGTGTTTTCATTCACGCACTCATTCACTCGTTTGACCGTCTGTGCATCCATCCGTCCGTCCGTCCATCCATCCATCCGTCCATCCATACATCCATCCATCCAGAGTAGCATCCACTGATGCTAGGGCCAGCAGGCCATGCCCTGAGTTAGATAGGGGGTGACAGAGAAGAGTGCGACGCAGTCCCTTCTCTGCAGGCAGACGTGTGAGCCAGGAGTTCTCGGCCCGGGGACTTGGGATCCAGGGAAGGTGGGGGAGCCGAGGGGAAGGGCAATGAAATGTATGATGAGGAGGCTCATGGAGGGGGCTGCAGGACGTCTGAAGGGGGAAGAAGGGGACCCTTGGTGGGCCAGAGCCAGGCCCACCCTGTCGTGAGTGAACACTGATGGCACAGGGTGGGGGCACCCATGGCTGCCCAGGAACGGAGGTGCAGGGCTGCAACCCCCTTGTCTGGGTTTGCTGAGGCCCCTCGTCAGCCTGCAGCTCCTCTTGGCCGGCCCGGGGCCGCGGCGGTGTCCGGCAGCCTGGCCGTATGCTGCCTGGCCTGGCCTCTGGCCCCCACTGTGCACCTGATTAGTTGGCCTTGGCAGTGGCGGGAGCAGCAGACGGCCTCTCCCAGCCGCTCAGCGCCCTCCACCGACCTGGACCCGGCCGGACCAGAGAGCACGGCCCATGGTGGCCGCAGCCTCGCCTCCCCTGGTGGTCGGCCGGCTCCTCCTCCTGGCTGCGGCTATGCCCCTGGCAGAGGCTGGCACGAGCCTGGCTGTTTCTACTTGAGCCGGTCACTTCTGTCTGCAGAGAGCACCCCAGGCCTCCAGGGGAGACGCCTGTCAGGAAGTGTACCCCCATGTCCTCCCAGGCCCCCACTGCCACCAAGGCTCCAACTGCTAGCTGCTACTTGGTCTGGTCTAGGGATCCTGGGTGAAACTTGGGGGGAGGCTGCTTTGCCCACCTGCCTTGTGACTCCGCCCGGCTCCCGGCTATAAATGCTACCTGGAGACCTTCTCTCCCCCGGTCACCCAGGTGATCCTCCCAGGCCCTGCTCCCCTCCCCTGAACCCTACATCTTCACATAGAGGTACTCTGGGCACCCCATATACCACCTGTCCAGAGTGCACCCCATCTCACCAATGGCTGCTCTGGCCCCAGGCCCCAAACCTTTCCCCACAGCCCGGCCCTCAGCTCCGTCTATTATCTCCAGGCTCGCCCCCATAGCTGCCATCCCCCCATAGCTGCCATCGTCTGGATCAGGCTCCATCATCTCTCAGGTGATGACATGGCAGCGGGATGGGCTAGCCCGGGGGCACGGAGAGGAGCAGGTGGACCGAAGGCCCAGTCTCCCCCTCAGGGAGTCACGGGGAGGAAGCCTAGCGCTGGCCCAGCCATCTCAGCGGGAGGGCGTCCCAGGGAATGGGAAGTAGGTGGATTAGACTGGGTTACAGCAGTGCGGACCCCTCCTTCCTGGGGCAGTGGACACCCCCCCATGTCCCCTCTGTGTACCCCACCCCCACCCCGGGCAGCACACAGGTGTCAGGAGCCTACACAGAGTGAAGGTGGGGGCAGAGTGCGTGCAGAGGTGGGGAGGGAGGATGCCAGGGGCATCTGCCAGGCTGGCTGGGGCTGCAGGTTAAGACGTGGTGAGGATGCATAGAACCGAGGCTGGGGACAGATTGTGGGGGCCGGTGAGCAGGGCCGGGGGATGGGGTAGGAATTTGCACGTTCCCTTAGGGGTAGGTGGGCTGCTGGGGCTTCTGACTTCAGGGGTTCACCCTTCTGAGGTGTCCTGGCCCCATGATATCCCTGAGGCTGGCTGGACAGGAACCCCGGTCTTCCATGGATGCGGCTCCTGGACCCAGAGAGGGCAAGTTCTGTGTCAAGGCAGCCCAGCCAGGACTAGCCTGGGTTGGCGCTCTGGGTGCTACCAGGGCAGGACTGCATCGGACACTCTGGGGACCTTCTCGGCTGGGCCCTCAGCCACACTCATGGGTCACCTGCAGCTTGTCCCTCCCCCAAGCTGAAGCCATGGAAAGCCCCACTAAGAAAGCAGAACCAGGCGAGCTGGTCCCGAAGAGGGTGAGAGCCAGGCCAGCTTCATAAGCGGGGGAGGTGAGAACCAGGGAAAACTGAGGAGGAGGGCGAGGCCAGCGAAGGTGTGAGGAAGACGAGCAGGACGGAGACAGGTCTTGAAGGCAGGGTCTCTGGATCTTTCTCCCCATCTCTGTTCCTGGCTTCCATTTCCCTCTGTGTCCCTGTCTCCGTCTCTGTCCTCCTGCTCCTCTCGGCCTCCACCGCCTGTGCTGGTGCAGGGAGCAGAGGGGAGCACGAACCAGACTTCCTTGCCCGGCCTAATTACATGACTGGGCACGAGGGGGATTAGCTGGTGCCTTGCGGGGTCCTCCCTGACTCTCTAATCCTGCGGCCCCTTTTCCCTGGCACGGAAGCGGTGAGCTCCTTCTGAGTCCCTAATTAGCTAATTATGCCCTGGCTCTGTGGCCCTGGGACTCCCTGGGCCCCGGGGAGCACCATGAAGTGAGTGGGCCCGGGCTAGGGGAGGAGGGACTGTGCCTTTCAGCAGATCCAGCCCAGCCGGGCAGGTTTTCAGGAGCCTTTCAGAATTTCAATATCCTGGAGAACAAGGGAAATGTAATTAATTGAGCAACAAAGACTGGGCCCCGGGGAGCACCATGGAGCTGCCATGAACAGCCAGGCTGGGACGCAAGCCACTACCTCCAGGCCCTCCTGTTCCAGCCCCTTCTCAAAGCCCCTGCCCCCTGCCTGCCTCCTGCTGGCCTCCAGGACCGCCCCTTTCCGTGCAAAGCCCCAGCCCATCAGGGCTCAGCCTCCCGACAGTCACCTAGCTCAGAGCCCTACACTCCCAAGATGTCCCTTTGCACCCAACCCCCCCCCCCCCCCCGCCGCCCCCATGCATGGCCTCAGTACATTCGCTCTGCCTGGCAAGCTCCTGTCAACCTGCAGGGCTCAGCTTGACATCAGCCCCTCCAGAAATGTGCCCGGGGCTCCCCACACTCCCCAGACTCAGTCCCTATCACCGGCTGCTGGGATGTCTGCTATGTTTGTCTTAGGGTTCCCTGTGCACCTCACACACAACAGTATTTGTAAGTGATGAATGAGTGAGTGAGTGGGTGAGTGAATTTTGGGACACTGGCCTGCGCCTCACGGGTTAACATTTGGATGGATGGCGCGGTTCTCGCTCCGTTTCTCCGCAGGCCCCTGGCTTTGTGCTGTGGGAAGGTGGGGTATTGCGCCTGCACTCTCCCTGGCCTGCTCTCAACTGGAGGCAGCCGTCTGCAGGGGAGCCCCACTGTCTTCCCTGGAGGAGGCTGACCTAGTTTTGTGGGGAGGGAGCACGGGGGTGGGCATTAATTATTGATTGGAAATCACTCCACACCGAGCTCGTGATGCAAATCTGAATAATTATCCTCATTAATAACCACCTCATCGTCACCCCTGGAATAAATAAAAGTCTGGACAGAGCCATCATCTGTCACCATTCTTCCCCCGTCGTGTCTCTCCCCATGACCTGTCACGTCTCTCACAAGCAGTCATTCAACAAATGCTAGACCTGGCAATACTGAGGTGACCCCGACACAGACTTTGCCCCCAGGAGCTCACAGCCCAGGGGAAGGGACGGGAGGTTAAACAGAGCTAGAAGACAACTAGCTGTTGATGTGCGTGGGAACGCCAAGTTGTGCAGTAGGCGGCCTGCACAACTGTACATGGCGACCGAGGCCTAGGCTAAGTCAGGGGTGCTGAGATTGCCCAGAGCAGGAGAGAGGCCTGGGGTGGGGTGAGAAGGGTATAGGAAGTCTTCACAGAGAGAAGGTAGAGCTTCAGCTGTACCTCCTGTTGCTTCGTTTATAAAACCTCACAGAGCTGCCATGAAGAGGGAAGAGGTCAGACTTGTGCGTCACCCAGAAGAGGCTTGGTGTTAAATCAAAGGCGCTCCTTGACGCCCACTCATTCTCCCGCGGTCCAGTGTCCTGTGTGGGGCCCAGTGCCTTTCCCATGGTCTCTGGTGGGGGGGCAGGTACCAAGGAGAAGGCCCCCAACAGCCCCCCCCCCCCCCCACCGCTGACCACTGAGCGAGCTGGGAGCGACGAGCCCCTCCTCCTGGAGCCCGTCTCCTCCCGCCGCCCTCCTCTCTGCCTGAGGGTCCTGCCCCTTCTCCCCTCCCAGGTATGCGGATCCTGGTGAACCTGCTCCTGGACACGCTGCCCATGCTGGGCAATGTCCTCCTGCTCTGCTTCTTTGTCTTCTTCATCTTCGGCATCATCGGCGTGCAGCTCTGGGCCGGCCTGCTGCGCAACCGCTGCTTCCTGGAGGAGAACTTCACCATGTGAGTGCGGCCGGGCTCCGGCCGGGCTCCTGGGGCAGCAGCCAGCGGCTCCTAAGGGCCGGGAAGGTCTCCCGTGGGGCAGCTGCTCCCAGTGCACCAACCCCATCATGCCGAGTCAGCCCTGCGTCCGGGGAATGAGCACCGAGGACCCCCATGCCCTCCGGCTTGACGTGACCAAGTCCCAGTATAAAATCAACCTGAGCGGCTAGTTCAGCTCCCAGGGGCTCTTACTGCACCCATGGTTTGAACTCACCCGGGAACTGGGGACCTGTGAAGTGGAAGCGGCAACCCAGAAAAAGGTCGGGTAGGAGGGGAGAGGGCAGTTCAGAGCCCAGTGGAGTGAGTGAAGACGATGGGCACCTTCAAGGCAGACACGCCTGGCAACTCCGGTGTTGCTGTTTGTGTCTCCGTCGTCAGGGAAGGTCAGCTGGGCCCACTGGTCTGAAAGTGGGGTGCGGCCGTTTGTCCAAGGCTCTGTAAGCAGAAATCCAGCCATGGCTGTGGGAGGGGTTGGGACGGCGGCTACAGAGCCCCAGTGGGGAGAGGCGGGCAGCGTGCTTGAACTTACACGCTGGCCCACACCGGCTGCCCTGTGCGTGGGCTCAGTGTGGTGGGCGCGCCAGCTGGCGGGTCACCCAGGCCTCTACTGTGTGCCCGTTGCAGCCCGAGGACGGCTCCAGAAGATCTGGGACACTGCATGCCTGAGTTTTCTCCCTCATTGTGGGGATGAAGCTTCATCCAGGAGTTGGAGTGAAGGTTGAGGATGGAACCGTCCCAGCCTGGGGTCACATCCTGCCTCCTTCACTTGCTAGCTGTGGCAACTGTGAGCGAGTGGCCGACTCTGTGCCTCAGTTTTACCACTGGGTGGTTTGAGGCTGACCCAAGTGGGACCAGTGCCTGACCCAGGAGGCGTTCTGAGCCATCGGCCCCCCTTCTCACCCCCAGCCTCAGTGCTGGGTGTCTCCCACTAGCCTTTGAAGCTCTGGGGAGGAGTGTGTCCACGCCCTGAGTGCCTGCTCCGGGAGGCATGTGATGGAGCCTGGAGTCGCAGGGCTGAGGGAATCCAGGGCCTGCTGGGCTTGTGGCCAGTGGTACTTCTGGAATACGCCCTGGGTGCTGGGTGGGCCGCAAGGCAATGGTGGAGTAATGACAGCTGGGGCCGGGTTTGCAGGGGCTCAGTGTGTGCTGGGTCCACTCGACACGGGGTTAATTGCTGTTTCTCACTGTGGGTGCACATTTGGCTCAGAGAAGTGACATCACTTCCTTAGGGCGCCCAGCAAGTGATTTGTGGAGTCAGGACTGGAACCCCAGGGGATCAGGCTCCAGAGTCCAAGCTCTCAGCAGAGGCAGGAGCAGGCTTGAAGGGAGGCTGGGAGCTGCAGAGGCTGGGGGTAGTAGCCCTGGGGCAGGGCAGGGGTGGCTCAGGGAAAGAGGGCCAGATGGTGGGCTGGGAGCCAGGCAGGCTGCTCCAGATGCTGCCACCAGCTGTATGCCAGAGGTTGCTCGCCAAGTCGGGCCTGGCACCGACAGGGTTTCCGCACAGCTGCTCTGTCTTTCCCTGGTTTAGAGGAAGGGCCTGGCTGAGAGCTCCAGGGCAGGGAGGCCATGGCGGCCATTGACCAGCCATGTGGGGTGAGGAGCCCAGGCACCCCGGGGTTGTCCAGTTTGAGGGGATCCCTCCCTGGGCTGCAAACCCATCCATACTATGTGGTTTTACGAGAGTCATTCATGGATTGTTAGGAGCGATGAGCGGGCAATGTCTTCGCGTGAGTGTGTCGACAGCTCTAGGGGCTTGTGAGGGTCGGGGCTGGAGGTAGGGCTGGAGTCAGGATTAATTTTTTTAATATGGACATTAATAGTCCTGGGGCCAGTGACTGGAAGGGGACCCTCAGTGCTTCCTGAAATGGGGGAGTCTATTACAGTCGGGTGACTGCACTGGGGCCTGGATTACATGCAGAATGCTTGACGGGCGTTGCCAAATTGTCCTCCAAAAAGGTTGTGCCAGTTTACGCTCCCACCAGCAGACAGTGAAGGAATGTAGTTGCAACTCCCCTCCCCCCACGCGGTACTGTCAACCCTCGGATGTTGGTTTTGGGGATGATCTAAAACACACTCATCGTGCTTTTTGCATTTCCCCATCGTTAGTACGGTGGAATACCGCGTGTCGTGTGCAGCGAGGTGTGTACTGGCATTTTTATTCCTTCTATGGATTTTCTCTTTTGTCCTTTTCCCCCCAGTGGGTGCTTTTCTTGGTGTTACAGGTTATTTGAAGATGCTTCAGTGAGTTGTTTATGTGGTGCGGGTACTCGATCCCGGGGGGCAGCAGACTCTGGCCTTCTTTTGTCAATAAAGTTTGGGTGGCGCACAGCCGTGCCCCAGTGCCTGCTGATCGCCTGGGGCAGTTTTCACATCATCCTGGCAGAGCCACGTTACTGGGGTGGAGACCAGGGGCTCTGCCAAAAAAATGTTACTGCCGGACCCTTGGCAGGAGAAGTCTGCCCACCTCCGCCCTCTGCCGCTCGGGCCTTTGTTTCCTATCTTGTGGCTCACAGAGGCGTCACACCCCTGTGTGGCCAGGATTATGTGTCTTATTCAGGAGGGTCTTACCTGTCCTGGGCTAACAAATATATTTCATATTTTCTTGTCATATTTTTATGGTAAATGTCAGTTGCATTTATGCTTTTGAATCCACCAGAAATCTGTTGTTTAAAAATTTATGATATATTTTACTAAACCTAACATATCCAGAATACCATTTCCAATGTGTAATCCATAAAAACCATTACAATCTTTTTTTTTTACTATTTTGACACCAAATTTTTAAGAAGTTTATTATGTGGGCCTCCCTGGTGGCGCAAGGGGTTAAGACACAACCTATGGGGCCTCCCCGGTGGCGCAGTGGTTGAGCGCTGGGTTGCGAAGCTGCCTGCGGCCTCTGCGGCGCTGGTTCGATCCCCGGCTGCTCCCCAGCCTTTGGAGGCGGGTCCCACATGGCGCGCAGACCTCTCCTGCCGCCCGCTGCTCCCCTCAGCAGTGGACTTCGGTCCTTCTGCCTGCTCTGCTCCCCGCTCTGGCTCTGGTGAATTCTCTCACCCTCCCGCGCTTCTGACTGTACCCAGTGCATGTATAAACAAACAAACAAACAAATAAATAAATAAAAAAACATACCTCTATTAAAAAAAAAAAAAAGACACAACCTATGAAGCTATCTGCAGCCACTGCAGCATGAGTTCGATTCCTGGCCAGGGAGTAACCCACAGGGCACAGAGACCTCTCCTGCCTCGCCTGCTGCTCCCCTCAGCAGTGTATTTCGTCAGTCTGCCTGTTCTGTTCCCCACTCTGTCTCTGGTGAATCCTCTCACCCCCCCACACCTCTGGCCTGTACTCCAGCTCTTGTATGCATAAATAAATAAATATTTTGAAAAAGAAAGAAGTTTATTATGTATATGGTATGAGGTAGGCTCCAACATCATTATTTATTTATTTTATTTAAATTTTATTTTTTTATTCCCCATATAATTACAACCCCCTTATTTTGACCCCAAGCCCTTCTTTCCCCACCCTACCCCCCCCATCTTCATTATTTCCAAGCGAGCAGCAGTTGTCCCAACAGCGTTTACTGACCTTCCTTCCATTCCCCACAGACCTGAAAAAGCGTCTCTAATACACTGAGCCTCTTTATACCTGACTTTGTCCCTGTGCTCTGTGGTCAGCTGCAAAACTTTCTATTCCCATTTTGGTTCCTGTGGTATTAATAATTGCAGCAATAGAGTCGAGTCTTGTAGGGCTGGGCCCCACTCCATCTTCCTTCTTGTAAAAATTGATCTTAACTGTTCTCTTACCCAGGTGCTAGAGTCACCGGGCCGGGTTCCACGGGCCAAAGCATTGAGATTTTTTGATTGGAATTGTCGTGAATCACATTACAGGGTGGGAGTGCCCTCCCTGTTCTACAGATGAGGAAATTGGGGCCCAGACAGGGGACACGACCCGCCCAAGACCAGACGGGGGTGGGGGGGTGGGGGGTGGAGGATGGTGCAGGCAAGGGTCCCAGTCAGCATTTCTTTACTGAGCACCTACTGTGTGGGCCAAATGGTACTTGGGGGCTGGGGACGCTGAGACCCAGCCTTTGCCTCACAAGAGCTCCAGCCTCCCAGGAGACTTCGGAGCCTCTGCCCCAGGAGCAGCAATGCGGTGTGCAAGGAGCACAGTCTGGCCATGGGGGCACAGGAACAGCCTTGTCTGATCCTGGGGAGACTTCCTCAGGGAAGGCTTCTCAGAGTGGAAGGCCGCGCGGGGAGCTGGCACTGACTACAGTGGGTCAGCGGGAGATGTCTGTGGCTGAGTTGGGGAAGGGTGTCAGGCAGGGGGAACAGCCTATGCAAAGGCCTAGCGTGATGACAGGGCCTGTCGGATTCATTCTGCACGATGCATGGTCTCTTCCCTTCCTGCTCCTCCTAGAGGTGACCCATCTCTCTCTCCCCTTCTACCCGTGCTTACCTGTGGACAGACAAGGGGATGTGGCTCTGCCTCCCTACTACCAGCCAGAGGAGGATGATGAGATGCCCTTCATCTGCTCCCTGTCGGGGGACAACGGCATCATGGGCTGCCACGAGATCCCCCCGCTCAAGGAGCAGGGCCGCGAGTGCTGCCTGTCCAAGGACGACGTGTATGACTTTGGGGCGGGGCGCCAGGACCTCAACGCCAGTGGGCTCTGTGTCAACTGGAACCGCTACTACAACGTGTGCCGCACGGGCAGTGCCAACCCCCACAAGGGCGCCATCAACTTTGACAACATTGGCTACGCCTGGATCGTCATCTTCCAGGTGAGGCCACTGGGGCTGGCCCTGGCCCCCGAGCGGGAGTGGGGTGAGGGGTGGAGCCAGGTGTTTGCACCTGTCTCTCTGAAACCTGCCCGTATTCCAGACAGAGCAACCAAGATTCAAAGAAAGGAAACCAGCCACTTGGCCAAGGACAGGGTGACCCCAAAGCCTGTACTCTCTGCCGAGTCCCAAATAGGGGGGCTAACAGGGCAAGGCGGGACCCTATGCGGGAATCTTGGGGAGTGGAGAACATTCCTGGCGGAGGTGGCTGCCTGAGCAAAAGCCTGGGTGCAGGGATGCCAAGGGCCGTGTGGGGAGCCCCAGGGAGCTGTTGTCAGAGTGTAGGGCGGGTCTGTCAGCCCCACCTTTTTTTTGAGAGCAGAAAGTGGTGAGCCCTGCGCTTTACCTTGCGCCACTCCCGCTACACAGCGTTGGCTTGTGCAAGGTGCTTTATCAAATTGCTCGGCCCGCAGCACTGCAGAGGATGGGGTGACGATGTTCAGGCAACTGGGGCTGTGGGACCTTGGTGTATTGCTTGATATCACTGTGCCTCAATTTGCTCATCTCTAAAATGGGGTAATAACAGCACATCCGCTCCCGGGACCTTGGGTGACTGAGAAGAATAAACCAGAGTGGGGAGCCCTGTGTGCCGGGCAGGCGTGCTCCCTAAAGGAGCGTGGGCAGGGCCAGAGAGCCTCAAGGGGCTGCAGGGTCCTGTCCGAGTGGTGGCTGTGAGGCGCGGTGGGTGGCGGAGTGCGGGGCTGCCAGACGCAATGGATGGGAGCATAGCCCAGCAGCTGTGTTTCGGGACCCTCCACCTGGAGAGGGCAGGTTGGCCTGCCCAGGGGCTCCTGCTCTGTGCATTTGCCAGAAGCAAAGAATTTGGCAGTGCTCGGGGGTCCCCAGCATTTGTCTTGCCTCAGACTGCTCAGCCTCTCTCTCTGGATAAGTGTGTTTGGGGGGACAGAATCTCACCAGCCTCATCACAGCCGCACTCTGGGGTTAGCTGAGCTGCACCCCAGCCCGGCCAGGAGGTCTCTGTGAACCTCACATGCTGAGGAAGCAGCAGCTGAGGCTCCAAGTGGCCCAGCCAGTGAGCTGGAGCCTGGGGACCCCCATCCCCGCCCTCCTGACTCAGTGTGGTAGACAGGAAAGGGGGGGCGGGCTCTGGAGCGAGAGGGACAGGGCTCAAGTCCCATGAAGTGCCTTCCTGGCTGTGGGCGCTGGGCAAAGGCCTCAGCTCTCCTTGCTGTCCTCACGTGTATCATGGAGTCGAGGACGAGGCCGGGTGGCCCCGCTGAGCCTGTGTGAGGAGATAATGTGCTGAAGATTCCTGGTGCACAGTAGGGGCCTCTGTGGGGGGTCCACTCCCCACCCCAACCCGGCTCAGCTCTTGCTCCTCTTCTGCTCTGTCTCGGCTGCAGGTGATCACCCTGGAAGGCTGGGTGGAGATCATGTACTATGTGATGGACGCGCATTCCTTCTACAACTTCATCTATTTCATCCTCCTTATCATAGTAAGTGTCAGGGGAGCTGGGGCTCTCTGGGCAGGCTCGAGGACCTGTGGATGGAGACCAGCCGGAGGGGGGGGCCCTGGGGAGTCCCCAGGGAGCCCATCAGTGCGGGAGGCAGTTTTTCAATGTGGCTGAGCGGTGGTGATTGAAGGGGCTCATCAGGGCAGCTGCTGGAAGCATCCATCACTTCCGACTGCCTTCATTTCTCATTTCTGGGCATTTAAGTCCAGCTGGTTGCTCCTGCTTGCATGTCTCTGCCTCGTAGTCTCTGGGAATACAGTCTTCAAGTGACTTTAGCTGGGATGCAGCCTCAGAGTGGAAGCTTCTGGAGGCTGAGCTTGTACCTCTTTCCTGGGGCCAGGGAGATGTTCCAGAATGGAAGCCGGGGCTGCTTCTTGAGCAAGGCTTGCAGCCGAGGCCACCCCGGTGGTGGCCTGGTAGAGGCCCCTGAAATTCTTGGAGGGACTACTGCCTCTCAGGCACCTCACCTTGAGGGGGTGACCTGGAGGTAGAGGTGGGGCCCCTTTCCTGGTCAGCCCTTTTCCTGCCTCCCACCCCCGCAGTCTTCCGAGCCCAGTGAGTGAGCAAGTGAGCTCATCGCCTTGTTATGCCTGACTGCAGCTTCAGCTACTGCTCAGTCCCCCAAATGTCAAGGTGATTCAGTCCCTGGAGCCTGCTGCTGGCTCCCTGCCTCTGCGAGCCAGGTTCTCTGGCAGCCAGCACACTTGGCCCTTAGGGCAGCACCCCGTCCCAGACTGGTGGGACCAGCACCTGGGGGCTCAGGACGAGCTGGCAGGTGATGTGAGACAGCCTGCTGTTGGCTTCACTCGGTGGTTTTCGTGGGGAGATTGGGGCCTTGTACCCAGATGGAGACACCCCAGCAGAGGAGGGGGCCCAGGCTTTGCTCAGGGTGGCCCGAAACTGGGCCACCAGCACATCACCAGCACATTTGGGAAGCCTGCACGGCGCCAGGCCCAGTGCTGGCAGCTGAGCTGGAGTCCTCACCCCTTCTCCTTTCTGCCTGTCTCACTTTCTCCTTCTCTCCATCTCCCTCCTCCACCTCCCTCCTCCCCCATCCCATCTCTGCCTCCCTGCCCTTCTGATCCCTCGTCCCTGTCCCTCGCCTCCTGTTGGTCACAGGTGGGCTCCTTCTTCATGATCAACCTGTGCCTCGTCGTCATAGCGACCCAGTTCTCGGAGACCAAGCAGCGGGAGCACCGGCTGATGCTGGAGCAGCGGCAGCGCTACCTGTCCTCCAGCACAGTGGCCAGCTACGCCGAGCCGGGCGACTGCTATGAGGAGATCTTCCAGTACGTCTGCCACATCCTGCGCAAGGCCAAGCGCCGTGCCCTGGGCCTGTACCAGGCTGTGCAGAGCCGCCGCCAGGCCCTGGGCCCCAGGGTGCCCGCCTCTGCCAAGCCCGGGCCCCATGCCAAGGAGACCAGGCACTACAGTAAGTGGCCCTGAGGCTGAGGGAGCCTGCGTGGGGGGCTCAGAAACAGCACAGCCTGCGAAAGACTGTCCCATCCCCCAGCACACGCAGAACCCCCAGGACTTGGCCCCCCCTCCATGGTGCCCTCACCGTTTCCCGAGCACCTGCCAGTGCTGGGTCTGGCCTCCTGGGACCTGGCCTACCCTGGAGGACCTCCCTTCCCATCTCCAGGGAGCATGTGCACCGGCTCTGCCCCTGGGGCCACCCTTGAAATGAACAGTTATCTGTCCTTAGCCGGGACAAATTCTAAATCCCTCTGCCTGGGCCACCGACATCACCCCTACACAGGTTCCTGCTGCCCCCTCCTGCCGGTGAGCACCCAGAGATATGGCTTCCGGTCACCTGGAATAAAGGGCGTGGCCTCCCTGCATAGGTGTGATGTGCTGGGGACCCCACTGTGCCCCTCTCTCTGCCTTGGGCCCATTTCTCCCTCTTGTCTCTGACTGTCCTTGTGAGGGTTGGCACTTTAGGTCTGGAAAGGCGCTCTCATCATTTTCTCTTCTGTTCCACACAGCTGTCCTGAGAAGGGGGTGCAGCGAGTAATAGTGTTCTAGTTTTCAGATGGGGTGACCAAAGTCCAGAGAGATGAAGGGAGTCGCTTAAGGTCGCAGAGTATGCCAGCGGCAGCTGGCGGCTGGCATGTCAGCGCTCAGGGCTTTGCTGCACCTCCCTGGGTGGGGGTGAACTGCTGTCTTCGGAGGCAAATGCACTCCAGGAGGTGGGCCCCATGTCCAGGCTCAGTCCTGCCCTCAGTTGGTGCCAAGAAGCAAGTCAGCAGACCTCCGGAGGTACCCCAGACCGGGGCACAGTGTGCCCCTCTGTAAAGTGAGGACGAGACCATGTGCAGTGGGCGCAGCCTCGCCAGGCCCTGCTCCTGGCGCTCCGCTGTGCTGGGGATCTGAGAGTCTGGGGAGCCAAGCTGGAGAATTCGGCTCCAGAGCAGCCGCCCACCTGTCCTCGGGCGCCAGCCGTCCAGGCCCGGTCTTGGGGGAGGCCCAGGTGGCCCGTGGGCTGGCTCAGCACGAGGACAGGGAGCTGGGCCTGGCTGACAACCCGGGGAGGGATGTTTACTTCCAGGGGCTTCCTGCCGCAGCCCACCTGCTCCAGGGAATGTGTGTGGAGGGAAGTCCCTGAGGTGCCCGGAGGGGGGTCTTGCCCTTGGCCCTGGGCCCCTGGTCTTCCTTTGCCCTGGGAAACAAGTGTTGGGGACCCAGCCCGCATACAGGCTGGGCTGGGAAGGGGCGGGAGAGGCTGGCTGTGGCTTCTGGCTGCCCACACTGGCTCTGAGCCTGAGGGCTTGTCAGGGCCTGGGGGTATCTGCAGGGGGAGGAGGTCCAAGCTTTTCTTGCCCTTTTTAATTTTTTTGTTCACACAAGGAAAACACATTTACTCTAGGAAAATATAGGCAAGCTGAGAGAAAAACCAAACCACCCAGAGAGAAGCCTCTCTGGCCCCTCTTTGAAAGGGTTTACAGGTCAGAACTCGGGTCCAGGACCGGCCTGGGTTTCTCGAAGTCTCCCTGGAGCAGTGAGGGGGATGAAAGCTCTTGCCCATCCCCCCATCTCCCCCACCTCGCCATGCCATGTCGGTTCCCCCTTGCCTGCTCCCCACGGAGCGAGCCCTGACTCTTAGTTGTGTGGAGGGACATTCCAGGGGTTTCTAGAGCCAGGGCTCCACCCTTGCTTTGGGCCCCGTCCCTCTACCCTGGGGACACCTCACACCCCGGGCGCAGGCAGAATTAGACACGCAGACCAGCTTAGCTTCCTCTGAGGGGCACCCCCCTCAGTTGTCCCCCAAACTCCAGGAAGGTGGCAGGTGTGGGGGCTCAAGGGGCCCATGGTGACTAACCCTGGGCCTCAGGCCAGGAAGTGAGGGAGGAAGGACAGGGCTGTGGCCTGGGCATGTCACACCTGTTAAGGGACAGAATCCTCCTGGCCGCCCTGGGAGGTGAGTGCTCCTGGTCCCAGGCAGTAAAGCCACCTCCCCGAAAGCCCAGGCCGCGGGGCTTCCAGGCAGGCCCCAAGGACCACAGGGGACTTAAGCACACGACTGTGTCCGGGTTAGCCCGGGACCTGGTGCGGCCAGTTGCTGCTTCCCCTGAGACCCTTGAGCTGGCCTGCGGCTTGGACGCCAGCGCGGTGGACAGTGACCATGCCCTCTGTTTGCTTTTCAGAGCTGTGCCCAAGACACAGCCCCCTGGACCCGACGCCCCACACGCTGGTGCAGCCCATCTCTGCCATGCTGGCCTCCGATGCCGCCAGCTGCCCCCGCTGCCAGCATGAGGCAGGCCGGCGGCCCTCGGGCCTGGGCAGCACTGACTCGGGCCAGGAGGGCTCAGGCTCCGGCGGCTCAGGCGGTTGCGATGACGAGGCCGATGGGGACGGTGCCCCGAGCAGCGAGGACGGGGCGTCCTCGGGGCTGGGGAAGGAGGACGAGGAGGAGCGGGCGGAGGGGGCAGCCCGGCTGTGTGGGGACGTGTGGCGCGAGACCAGAGCCAAGCTGCGCGGCATCGTGGACAGCAAGTACTTCAACCGCGGCATCATGATCGCCATCCTGGTCAACACCGTCAGCATGGGCATCGAGCACCACGAGCAGGCCAGTGTGGGGGCCCAGGGCCCCGCCCCCCGACACCCGCGGCGTGGGGCTGCCCAGGGCTGGGTCCCTTCCCTCGGGGGGACCCGGGTTCCTGGCCCAGGACCGTGCAGAAGAGGGAAGAGCTCAGGGGGCCTGCCCAAGGCTCTGGTGGGTTCTGTCCTTAACCTGCACTCCTGCTCTGTAGGACACCCCATTTGACAACTGCTGACCCCGAGGCCCACAGAAGGCATGTTAGAGGCTGGACTTGAACCCATAACTTTCAGTGGCAAGACTCACCCCCTGCAAGGTTTAAGACTTCGATGCCCCCTTTGGTTCCCTGCTGGCTTTTTCTGTGGAGGCCCCAGACCCGCCCGCTGTGCCCTGCGGTGGGCCACGCTCTCATTTCCCTCTTCATTAGTTCGCCAAAGCAGGCTCCATTCAATTTACTTAAATGCGGCCCCTGGGGCTGCTGGGAGCTGCTTGGAGTTGCTGGTTTGCCCGCAGTTCTGGCTTAATTAAAAAGGTCTCTGGGGAGGGGTGGGGTTGGTTCTCCAAGGGTGTAACTGGTGGGCAGGCAGCCCGGACCCCTCGCCTAGGGTCCACCCTGCTGGCCTTGGCCTGACCCAGGCTAGTAGCGGGTAGAGGCCTACCTGGGCCTGGGGCCCTTGGAGCAGGGACTGATGCTGTTGGGGTGCTGGCTCAGCCTGGGTTGGGCTGAGCGTGTGCCTGCCCTGCTGCACGAGAGCCTGGCGCTGTCCCTGCCAGTGGCTGGCTGGAGCCAGCTGGTGAGAGCCAATTTCCTGAGGCTCAGAAATTTTGCAAACCCTTTGGCAAATGGTTGGTAGCTTGAAACTGGCCATAGGGGGCAGCATTTGCACCATGGAAATTGGCATACACGACAGGTCGGGGCCATCATTCAGAGGCCTGTTTGCCCAGGTACTGACCCTCCTGCCTCCTCAGCCATCCCCTCTTATCAGCACTGCACCTAGGCAGCTCTGCTCTCCAGGCAGGCTGCCCCCCAGCCTCAGGCCCTGCCCAAGTGTCCTCAGGGTCTCCCTGCCTGGCCTGTCCCCCAGACCCTGCCCATCCTGCCCGCACATGCTCTCTAGCCTATAATGCGGTGAGGCGGGAGAGGCTTCAACCGCGGTTCAAACGGGGTTCCCTCATCTAGGAGGCAGGTGTCCTACCTAATAGTAGGCACCTTCTCCTGTCCACTGAGCACCGACTAAGCGCCAGGCCCTGACCTCGTGCAGTATAGTTGAGTCCACCCCCACAACACTGATGAGGGGGCGTCTGCACCCCCTTTCCTGGCCCTGTGCTGGCTGGCAGGGTGGCCGTGGGCCAGTTATGGGGCCTCCCTCGGCCCCTCTGTAAATGGGCACACTTGCCCTGCCGCGCAGAGGGGCGGTTGCCTTGAAAGGCCTGGCGCACAGTAGGTGCTCGCAGTGTGGAATTTTTTTGTCTTTTTGAGCTGCCATGAATTTACCATCCCCCGTCTGGAGCCTCAAAAAATTAATTAATTAAAGAAAAGGTGAGGGGGAGGGAGAATTTAAAAATGTTCTTTCTGAGTGGCAGCCTTTGTTCGGCCGAGCTCTGTGCGGGTGCGCGGCTGGGCCCTCCCATATTTCTGCTCCATTCCCTTTGCCTCCCAGACGTTCCTCTGCGGAACTGATCCGCCCCCATATTTATTTTTGAGCAGCCCTGTCTGAGGGGGCTCCGGCAGAGGGAGGTGGCGCAGGGCCATGAGGGGAGGGGCAGGGCGAGGGGAGGATCAGATGCTGAACCCACACAGCCCCTCCCCCCGAGGGGTGGTGACCCAGGGGTGCTTTGTGGCCACCTTGTGTGGCCAGAGGGTTTGGAGAACGGGAGGGAGGCTGGGCGTCTCTTTCTTACTCCCTCTGTGAAGCGGCTGCCGCCTCTGCCAGAGTCCTTGAAGGAGAGAGGGTTTCTGGTGCCCGTGGCTTTGAGGGGGTCACTGCGGCCACATCACGAGGGGGCACCAGCAGGTTCCCACGGCAGCAGATACTGTTCCCTTCAGGGTCAGGCCTGGGAGATGGTGACAGGTGGAAAGAGGCTCCACCAAGCAGGGCTGCAGGTGACCCAGGAAGTGTTTGGGGTGTCAAAGTCTGCCCCTCCCCCACAGCCCTTGGAGGAGAGGGACCCAGGACAGTGTGGCTGAGGCTACAGCCTGGCGATGCACTCCCCTGTCGCCACTTCTCGTGTGCACGCGCGTGTGCGTGTGCGTGTGTGTGTGTGTGCGTGTCCCATCTTCCCTGTGACCCGGGAGCGGGCAGGGTGAGGGTCTTATCCCAGCCGAGGCTCAGAGGGGCGGCCTGACTTGCCCAGGGTGGCGCAGTGAGCAGCGGGCAGAGCTGGGCTCCAAGATGCTGGGGGTTCTGAGGAGCCAGCAGGAGCTGGGAAGGCCTGGGTGGAGGTACCGGTCCTGGGAGCAGTGCCTGTCTGCGCTGCTCCCTTCCTGGGCACTCCTCTGACCAAGCACATGACCTCTCCAAGCTGTGCGGTGCTGCCCTGGGCCTCACCCCGCCCTGGAAGTGGGGGTGGTCACCAAGCTGCGCTGCCACCTACCACCCCGGCGGAAATGGCCAGAGGCTGCCTCCCCAGCCTGGCATGGGGCAGAAACCAGCAGGCCCTGCCCGCCCCCCCCCACCTCTGTTCCCCCATCCCTTCTCACCTGCCCTCTGTCCCCCCACTTCTATCTTAACATGGTTTCCCCTGCCTTTGGGCACCTCCCCTCCCCCTGGATGAGTCCTCGCTGTCTCCAGTTGCTTCTCTGCACCTCTGTCTGTCTGTCTGTCTGCACTCTCACTCCTCGGCTGTCTGACACCCGCAGTGTCGTGATCTGGCCCTTCGTGCTCTTGTCACCTGTCTCTCTCTCTGCAGCGCCTCCGTGTCCAGGCTTTGCGTCTCCCTGTCCCATATCTCTCTGTCCGTCCATCTCTTTCAGCCTCTGTGTCCATCTCCCTCTGTCGCTGCCCGTCCATCTCCACCTGCCTCCCCCGTGGTCCCTGTCTCTGTGTCTCTGATCCTCTGCCCGTCGCTGCCGCTCTCGCTCCTCTCGCCCAGAACAGTGCTGTCAGGAGTGACGGATGGTCACAGCGGGGAGGTGACCAGGTGTGCGGGCAGAGAAACAGCTGTTTTGAGGGAATCGGGGGAGTGAGCGGGTGACCTTTCCAGAGCTCCGGCCGCCTGCCTGGCTCGTGGGGGCCGCGTGAGTGCAGCGTGTGGCCCGGGCAGCCGTGGCAGCCACGACGGACTGTCACCATCCAGTTTCATCTCTGTGGACATGGTTTTGGCAGCTTGGGAAATGAGAGGTGTGGAGTAGCATCCGGGCCCTGCTCAGCCGGGGATGCGCAGCCCCAGCCCTCCCCACCATGGGAGGCCACTCAGGGTCCCACGCCCCTTTGGGGACCATTTTGTGAGTCAAATGTAATTACAGATGGAAATGGGGCCTCCTTTTCCTTTTATCTGGGCTGGAGAGGAGCTGGCGGTTTTATTAGATTTCTCAGGCACCAGGCGGGAAGCAGGCAGTCGCGTTTTTTTTCTCTCTCATCTCCTTTGGACACAAATGGAATCCAGGACAGGCTGGGGGGGCCTATTGCCCCACCCACTGGCTGGCCCCTCTTCGCCCTGTTGTCCATTCCCCCACCCAGCTGTAGGGTCTCTGCTGAGATGCCATTTCTTCCAGCAAGCTGCTCCTGACTCCACACACTGTTCCCCCAACTACCCTCAGCTTTCCTGGGATTTTAGTTTTCACCAACCCATCTGTTCACGCTCTTCTTGAGCGATGCCCCTCGGGGACAGGGTGGGGAGAGACCTTCTTGCTGCTTTCAGCCAGGCGCTTGTGGCACCAGCCGCTCTGGTGGCCACTCAGATCCGTGGCTGCTCAGATCTGGTGGCAGCTCAGATCTGTGGATGCTCAGATCCGGTGGCCACTCAGATCCGTGGCACTCATGCGCAGTGGCTGACGGGGAGGTAGCTGATGGGGCTTCGGTGTGTGTGACGGGAGAGCAGTTTGGAGCCGAGTCTGCTCAGTGCCTGGCTCTGCCGCATCCTGGCTGGTGGCAGTCAGTTACCCCTCCCAGCCACAGTTTCCTCACCTGTAGAAAGGACATGCCAACAGGGGCCTCCTCCCTTCTCCGTGGTTCAGGTGGGAACACTTGGCTCCATGGTGAGCAGGAAGCAGACATTTGACCAGTCTTGGGGGGCCATGGAGGGGAGCAAGGTCCTGGGCCTTATATGGCTCTTAGCAGCGAGGTTTCAGGTATCTCCTTCCACCCCTTGTCTTATAGATGAGGGAACTGCGGCCGGGTGGGGTGCATGGGGGACCAGCCATGGCCTGTTTCACACACGGGGTTGGTCCGGTGACCCCATCTGCGGGGGTGCTGCCTGCTGCTAAAGCAGGAGGTAAAGCACTCTGGGGGCAGATGATGTCTGTGCGGCAGTGGACTCGTCTCCCTCTGACCAGCTGGACTTCAGTGCTTTACCCTGGGCCTGGGTTTCCTCCAAGTGGGGGTGAAGTGATCACCACTGGTTGGGGAGGTCGAGTGGTTGGGTACCAGCCATTAGGGCATACGGCAGGCGCGTGGTCTCTGTCCTCCCTGCCCATAGCCACCCACCGACCTGAGATGGCCGCTCTCAGGAGGGAAGAGAGCGGTGGGCTGGTGGGTCTGCACAGGGGCTGGTTAAGGAGGGAGCCTGAGAGCCCGGCTGCCTGGGTTCGATTCCTGGCTCTGCCCCTTACCAGCCCTGCAGCTCCAACCTGCCTCCTCATCTGCAGACTAGCTCTTGTGAGGGGCTGAGTGACCTGGTGCTGGCAGAGCACGTGGGTCAGGGTGCGGCACAGGGTGCGTGCTCACTAGCTGGGTCAGGGTCGCGGGCAAACAAGGAAGGAGTTGCCCGCAGCCGCCACCTGCCTTCCATGTGACGTCAGGCTGGCCTCTGAGCTTCAGTCTCCTCGTCTGTAAAGTGGGTATCACCCACCCATTTATAAAGGAAGGTGAGCCACATGGCCTCTCAGGCCCCTGGGGCAGCAGAGTTGCAAGGTCCTCAATGGTTATCATATCTGGGTGGGTGCACGTGGCGTTCCAGCGAGGACACTGCCCTCCCGGGGGATCGTAGAGTCAGTGGGTGTCCAGAAGGGACCCAAGTTACCCTCTGGTCTGACCGGCGCCCCCTTTGTCCCCATCCCACAGCCCGAGGAGCTGACCAATATCCTGGAGATCTGCAACGTGGTCTTCACCAGCATGTTCGCACTGGAGATGCTCCTGAAGCTGGCGGCCTTTGGGCTCGTCGACTACCTGCGCAACCCCTACAACATCTTCGACAGCATCATCGTCATCATCAGGTGCCGCCCCAGCCTGCAGCCCGCCCGGGGCCCAGAAGGGGGGAGGGGCATCCACGTACCGAATCCCGCCAGTAGATAAAGCGCAGAGGCAAAGAAAACTGGCCTCACTGAAGCGCAGTTGTCAGAGCCTTTAAACTTTGTGGCTTCGCAACATACGTGCTTCTGGATCAGTGCATGAAATAGCAAGGTCTGGCGGCGGGCCCGTGGCTTCCACCGAAGAAGTGGAGCAGAAGTAACACTCCCGTGTCTGCCTCAGCCCTCACGTGGCAGGACAACATCAGTGATGTCGACTGGGCACAGGGTCACAGGAACTGCTCGTTCTCTGGGCTTTATTTACACTCATAAGCCAGAGCATGGTAAATCTCAAAGGCCAGTGATATTTATAGGTCTCCTGAGTTCTAGCCATAGACTTCAGCGGGGACTCCAGGGCAAGAACCCCCGAGTAAGGCCACGGGGCAGCAGTGGTCTGAGGATGGATGGATGGATGGATGGATGCTTCCCGTCTCTCTGCTCCCCCACCTCTCCCATTTCCTCTGCCCTCCTCTCCTCCCGGCCTCCCGCCGGCCCCTCCTGCCTCTCCCCTCCCACCCGCCTGCCCGCTCTGCGCAGCATCTGGGAGATCGTGGGGCAGGCGGACGGTGGCTTGTCGGTGCTGCGGACCTTCCGGCTACTGCGGGTGCTGAAACTGGTGCGCTTCATGCCCGCGCTGCGGCGCCAGCTGGTGGTGCTCATGAAGACCATGGACAACGTGGCCACCTTCTGCATGCTGCTCATGCTCTTCATCTTCATCTTCAGGTGAGCCCTGCCGGCCCTGGGCCATGCTGGGGGCAGGAGCTGGGGGCATGTGGAGCTCAGGGAACACCCTGGACTGGGGTGTGAATCCCAGCGCCATCGCCACGTACCCTGTGGTGCTGAACCTCAGTGGTCACTCCTGTAAAATGGAACCATGGAACCAGTGTGGCTCACACCCTCCCCCATGTCTTACTGGATTGTTCTGAGAATGACATGAGGTGGGTGGTGAGAGCGCGGGGCCTGAGTGGGTGCCTTGAGCCTGCCGATCCTCCCCCAGCATCCTCGGGATGCACATCTTCGGCTGCAAATTTAGCCTCCGCACAGACACGGGAGACACGGTCCCCGACAGGAAGAACTTTGACTCCCTGCTGTGGGCCATCGTCACCGTCTTCCAGGTGAGCCGCAGGTGCACCCATGTGTGGGGGGAGGGGGGATTCTTCCAGGCCTACCACCCAGCATCACTTTTCAGGGTGCCTGTCTGGGAAGCCCCAGAGCCCCGGCCTCTGGTGCTTGCAAGCAGGCACCCACCCCTGCCCTCCACTCCTGCACGCAGACTCTGGCACTTAGCATTCTTCTCCGGGACTGCTTGTCACATGTCACCTGGGCGTGGCTGAATGGGTACATGTGGGGGGTTGTTGCACATTGTGGGGGGTGGGGTAGAAGGAGGGGTGGGCTAAGTCCAGGGTGGGGGGCTGGAACAGGCTCTGCGCTGAGGTTGGGGTGCTGGGGGCAGCCAGGATGGAGCAGCCGGCCAGTGGGGAGGGTGTCAGGGCTGGAGTGTGGTACTGCCTCGGGAGGGGGTTGGGCAAGCTGGGGCAGTGCTTGTGAGCCTCCAGCCCAAACCCCAATGTTCAGGGCTTCCTGGTCTGCCGGAGCAGCGAGAGGGGCTGCAGGCGGGGACGCCTGCAGCGGGTCTACAGCTAGGCCACCGGGGCTGGGATTTGCAGGGGCCCCGGGACTGAGTGTGCCCCTCCCCTGCCCTCACAGATCCTCACCCAGGAGGACTGGAACGTCGTCCTCTACAACGGCATGGCCTCCACCTCCCCGTGGGCCTCCCTCTACTTTGTTGCCCTCATGACCTTTGGCAACTATGTGCTCTTCAACCTGCTGGTGGCCATCCTGGTGGAGGGCTTCCAGGCGGAGGTGACTGAAGCCCCGGCAGAGGAACACCCCTTGGGGACGACACGCGATGGACTGGGGCCTGGATGGGGGAGGGCTGCAGTTCAGACGTCTAGTAGGCAGCAGGTCCCCAAGGCGGGGTGAAGTGGTCAGCAGGTCCCAAAGGAGAAGTGGTCAGCAGACGGAGGCTGCACCTGGGACCCCGCCTGTCTCCCACAGGTGTAGGACAAGACCTCTCCAGCTCAGATTCTAGGGCCCCAACATCTGGAATCTGGGCCCTGCCTCCCTGTTCTCTGAGACTCGGGGGTGCTTGCAGGCAGGCCGATGTGGTTTGTGGCTTTGGGCCTCGTTGGCTTCTTACTTCCCTTTACTGAGACTCAGTTTCCCCATCCGTAAAATGGGGGTGAAAACATCCATTGAAAATATCAGGAGGGAGGGAAAGACTGAGCTGACCTTCGTTCCAACATGAGGGATGGTCTCCCAGGGCGACGCCAATCGCTCCTACTCGGACGAGGACCAGAGCTCATCCAACATGGAAGAGTTTGACAAGCTCCAGGAGGGCCTGGACGGCGGCGGAGGTAAACGGGCCTCCACATGTCCCCTCAGGGCACTGGGCCTGCCCAGAGATCATATAGGTGAAGGGCATGGCCTCTGGCTTCCCTCAAGCTCAGGCTCTGGTTTGTAGCTTACATTCATCATCCCTAAACCCCAGGAAGTCAGTGACATGGTCCTAGATTCTTGCCTCAGGGTAGCTGCACCCACCCTCATCCCTCCACATTGCGAGGTCTGTCAGGAAGAGCCTTGGGCTTCAGGACATCTGAGTTCTGGCCCCCCGTTGGCCCCACTGGGCAGCTCAGAACAAGCCTCCCAAGCCGGCATGTGTCATGTGTGTCTTGGTAGCTGGGCTGGACATGAAGAGAGGGTCCCCTGCAGGGTGAAGCAAGGGCTCCACTGTCCAGAACTAAAGCTGAGAGCCTGCAGGTGAGGTGCAGGGGGCACAGGTCCTACCTGGAAGACCTCTAGCAAAGGCCTCCCCAGAAGACTCTGTGTGTGTTTTTTTCTCACGACTCCCTTTGCTCTTGTTCTGTCTGCCTGCCTGTCCCCGCCTGTCTCTACCTCACCCCTGCAGATCCCAAGCTCTGCCTAATGCCCATGACCCCCAATGGGCACCTGGATCCCAGTCTCCCACTTGGTGGACATCTGGGCCCCGCTGGGGCTGCGGCACCTGCTCCCCGCCTTTCACTGCAGCCAGACCCTGTGTTGGTGGCCCTGGGCTCCCGCAAGAGCAGCGTCATGTCCCTGGGGAGGGTGAGCTACGACCAGCGCTCACTGGTGAGTCTGTGGGGTGCTCTGGATGGGTGCTCCCTGCTGGGGTGTGCAGAGGGACCCTGGGGAGGAGTGTCCACCCTCAGAGAGGTGCTCAGGCTGAACGCCAGAGCCAGCCGGGGGCCATGTCTGCATGTCCCTGGGTGCCCAGTGCCAGAGGGGCACCTGGCAAGGAGTGAGTGACTGACTAGTGCCTGGGTCTGGTGTGGAGCTGGGTTTGGTCTTAGCAGCAACGTGCAGAGTAAAGGGCTGAGCTTCGGGTTCTGGCAGAACCAAGTTTGAGTCTGTGGAACAGCCCTCTCTGAGGCGGTTTCGTCACCTGCACGATTTGAAGAAACCCGAAGGGCTGCACCTTCCTGGAGGGCAGTGCGGTGGCAGGAGGGCATGTAGCCACACTGTGGACATGCCCTCGGAGCGACCCCGGGGCCTGGCCCGTCCGGTCACCCGTCGGCGGTGCCCCCAGGACCGCAGCCCGCAGGCCGCCCGCCGCCCTCCGCCCGGCCTTGGGGGTGTGGCGCGCTGACGGCCGGGCTTCCTCCCAGTCCAGCTCCCGGAGCTCCTACTACGGGCCTTGGGGCCGCAGCAGCGGGGCCTGGGCCAGCCGCCGCTCCAGCTGGAGCAGCCTCAAGCACAAGCCGCCGTCCGCCGAGCACGAGTCCCTGCTCTCCGCCGAGCGCGGCGCGGCCCGGGCGGGCGAGGGCGCCCGGGACGAGGGGCTGCCGCGGGCCGCACCCCCGCACGCCCCGCACGCGCACCGCGCGCCCCACCCGGCGCGCCGGCACCGCCACCGCCGCACGCTGTCGCTGGACACCAGAGACGCGGCGGACCTGGCCGAGCCGGGGCCCGCGGCGGGCGGCCACGCCCGGGCGGCCTGGAGGGCGGCGGGCTCGGGCCCCGGGCACGAGGACTGCAACGGCCGCATGCCCAGCATCGCCAAGGACGTGTTCACCAAGATGGACGACCGGCGCGGGCGCGGGGAGGACGAGGAGGACATCGACTACGTGAGTGGGGTCTCGAAGCTCCGGGGCGGGCCTAGCAGCACCTGGCGGGCGGGGCGGAGGCCTCAGGTAGCTGAGCGGGTCGGAGCTGCCCACACTGACCTGTGCCCGCCCCTGGGGGGGAATCTCCCCGCGGCGGGGCAGGGGTTTGGTCTCGCTGGGACAGCCCGAGGCCATCCAGTGTCCCCAGTGTGCCCGATGGATGGAGATGGGCAGCTCGGGGCAGCGCTGACCTACCCGCAACCCACGCGCCTTTTTGCCAGACGCTGTGCTTCCGCGTGCGCAAGATGATTGACGTCTACAAACCCGACTGGTGTGAGGTCCGCGAGGACTGGGCTGTCTACCTCTTCTCCCCGGAGAACAGGTGGGCAGCCATGTTCGGGGTGGGGTCCGAGCAGGGGCCGACCTATCTGGGAGCTAGAGCTTTGTGCTGAGCCAGGCAAGGCCATAGGGAGGTGTGTGAGGGGGAGGTGTGTGTGTGTGTTGTGGGGCCTCTCTGGGCACTTTTTCTGGTCTAGGTCATCCCTGTGCTGGGCAGGGATAAATCCTGTCACGGGGGTGCTGTCATCTGGAGGGGCTGTCAGAGGCCTTGCTGGAGGAGAAGGCCTTTGTCCTAGATTTTGGAATCAGCATTTCAGTAGCTGAAGCAGGCTGTGGGAGGAGGAGACTGGTCAGGCAGAGAGAAGGTCCAGAGGCAGAAGTTGGGGTATCAAGCAGTTGTATCCCCAGACTGGGAGCCTGAGCTTGGGGATTTAGCCAGCGTTTGGGTTGCCTGGATTGCCAAGGCATGGTGGGTGCCCTTCATGCTGTGGTACCAGGAGCTGCCGTGGGTGTGTGGTCAGGGAAGATGGCTCCAGGTGGGTACCTTGAACAGGTGTACAGTTTTCATCTGCGTGTGCCATATGACAGGAGACGTGTCAGCTTCCTGTAGACGATCCTGGTCCCCTGGAGTGCCTGAGCCCTCTGCCTCCCCCCGGTCAAGGTGAATGGCTCACCCACAGTCACATGGCCCTCTTTTCACCCCATCTGCTCCCCAGGTTCCGCGTTCTATGTCAGACCATCATTGCCCACAAGCTCTTCGACTATGTCGTCCTGGCCTTCATCTTCCTCAATTGCATCACCATCGCCCTGGAGCGGCCCCAGATCGAGGCTGGCAGCACTGTGAGTGACTGTGTCCACTGAGGGGACAAGGGGCGGGGACAACGGGCAGGGCACCAGGGCCTGCTATGAGACAGTGTTCAGGACCGTGGAGGACTCAGCAGGGTCATGTCTCAAGCACCATGGAGGGAGGTGAGGCAGGAGCTTGCCTGGGGGCAGAGGGTGCCTCCTTGTTCTGTGAGATGGCAGCCTCTCCTGGATGCCCCTTGGCTGAAGGCGGAGGCTGCCCAGGTGGCTGGGCAGTTCTGGCAGCACCTGGGCCCATGGTATCTCCCGGCTCTTTCAGGAACGCATCTTCCTCACTGTGTCCAACTACATCTTCACAGCCATCTTCGTGGGCGAGATGACATTGAAGGTAGCTGCAGGCGTCACCTGGGGCCTCTGCCCCCAGCTCAGGGAACCCTTGCCCTGCCCCTGCCCCATCTCAGCTTATCATTCACCTGCCCATTAGCGGACCTTCCAGGTCCACTCCCTGCTTGATGTCCACTGGGATGGGTTCTAGGGACCCAAAGGGGCCAGCAGTGTCCTGGCTCTTGGCTAGAAAGGTGAATGCAGGGCAACCTTTACAGCGTAATGGCGGCCCTTGCTGGAGGGGAAGGGTTCTGTCTGGGACGTCCCAGAGCCAGAACTTTGAACTGAGTTCTCCAGAAGTCCGCAGGCGGGTTGGGCACCGGCCCCTGCGGGCCACGGCTCACCAGCATACCTCTGCCCCCTCTCCCCACTCGGCCCCGCCCCCTCGGAGTCCGCTTGACCCCGCCCACTGCCCCGCCTCCAGGTGGTCTCGCTGGGTCTGTATTTCGGGGAGCAGGCGTACCTGCGCAGCAGCTGGAACGTGCTGGACGGCTTCCTCGTCTTCGTGTCCATCATCGACATTGTGGTGTCCGTGGCCTCGGCAGGGGGTGCCAAGATCCTGGGGGTCCTCCGGGTCCTGCGGCTCCTGCGCACCTTGCGACCCTTGCGGTGAAGACCTCTCCTGCAAGGATGGGAATCCCGAGTGGGCCTAACTGTCGTGCCACTCCTGGGAGGGGTCCTGGAGGCGCTGGGGAGAGGAGGTGCTGGAAGGGCAGGGCAGCAGGTGGCCCCAGGACTGCCCGCCACAGTGTATCCCTGGGAGGCTCGCGCTTGAGGTGGGTGGGCCCTGAAGGGGTAGGGTGAGGCACCGAGATTTCAGGCCTGGGTGGAGTTCACAGCCTGTTGTGCTGAAGTATGGGCGTCTGGCAGTGTCTCTGCATTCCCTGCTTGGGGGGCCTGTGCCCTGCGGCGTCTGGGCCGAGCGGGGGCTGTCCCCGGCCTGGCTGTGGCTCACCATGGCCCTGTACTCCCTGCCCACAGTGTCATCAGCCGGGCTCCTGGGCTGAAGCTGGTGGTGGAGACGCTCATTTCCTCCCTCAAGCCCATCGGCAACATTGTTCTCATCTGCTGTGCCTTCTTCATCATCTTTGGCATTCTGGGAGTGCAGGTGAGGGGTGCCAGGCCAGGCGGGCACTGGGATGGGCTCCGTGGTTGGGGCAGACCATGCCCGACACAGCCTAGGGAAAGGCTCCACTTTCCTGCCGACTCTCCTGACTTGTGCCCCTGAACTGGGCTCAGGCGGCCCTGGGGAGCAGCCATGGTCGCTGCCAGTGTCGAGCGCCCAGTCCAGGAAGGGAGACGGACGGGTCCAAGTGACTGAGCTCAAGTGACAGGCTGGGCACGGCAGAGAGAGCTGAGGTGGAGCCGCCTGACTGGTGGGGGCTTCATGTGGACCCTGAGTGGACAGTGGTTCTGCCCCTTCCAGGCAATTGACACGGAGAGGGCTCGGGTCTCTCTCTCTCCCCCATGGGGGTATGCAGGCAGCTCTCCCGTGGGTGGGGTCTCTGCCCAAATCCCCAGGAGGGATACTGGCATCCGCTCTCTGGGATCTGTGGACTCGGACCGGGGTGTGCACTGGGGCCCTGCCATTTCCTAAACCTCAGCAGGCCTGGGGCACATCCCTTGACGCCTCAGGGCCTCAGTTTGCTTGTCCGTGAGATGGGCTGAGAGTAGCCCCCCTTAGGTTGTGGGGACTTGAGCTGGTGTGGTCCAGAGCTTGGTCCGGGTGTGCACAGGGATAGTGTCCCCGAGGGGCAGGTGCCCCCTCTGATCTGTGCCTGAGCATGGCAGGATGGTCGCTCATGCCGCCCCCTTCCCCCAGCTCTTTAAGGGCAAGTTCTACCACTGCTTGGGCGTGGACACCCGCAACATCACCAACCGGTCCGACTGCGTGGCTGCCAACTACCGCTGGGTCCATCACAAGTACAACTTTGACAACCTGGGCCAGGTGAGTGCTGCACGCCTCCCCCTGACCTGACTCACACCCCTCGCCCCACCCCAGCCCTGCTTCTGGGCCTGTGCCCCACCTGGAAGGGAAGAGGGGGTTCTGTGTCCTGAATGGGAGGGGAAAGGCTGGTGTAGGGCAGGATAGCCACCCAGAGCCCCACCTCTGGGCCCAGGGTCCTGGCTGCCCCTCTTGAACAGTGAGGAGGAGGAGGGCGTGACCTCACGGGTGAGCCCACTACCCACCAGCGCGAGCACCCAGCACGGCACAGGTTCCGCTGTGGGCAGGGCTAGCCCCCGGCCCCACTGAAGGGCGTCTGTGAGCACCTTGCCTGGCCGTCTCCTGGGGATAACCCCTTTTCAAAACCTCGCCAACTAGTGAGTGTCATCACTCCTTCATAGACAAGGAAGCTGGGGCCCAGGGACTTTGAGAACTTGCCCTGAGTCACACAGCCAGAGTGGCAGAGCTCCTTTTCCCGCAGCAGGGCCTGCAGGATATAGGGCAGAAAAATTGTAGGTTGAGGCCACAGCTCTGCTAGGGGGAGGCCTCTTAGTCTCCCAAAATCCACTGCTCCATCCACTCATTTACCTACACATCCGTCCATCTCCATCCTCACATCCATCCACCCTCTCATACATTGCAGAGACAGATAGAGAGCCGAGAAGGGGGCTGGTGCAGCCTGAACGCCCTGCACACTCACCCCTGGATCCTCCCCTCCCTGTGTCTTCCAGGCGCTGATGTCCCTCTTCGTCCTGGCCTCCAAGGACGGCTGGGTCAACATCATGTACAACGGGCTGGACGCTGTTGCCGTGGACCAGCAGGTGGGCGTGGCTGGTGTCTCTGGGCCCGTGGCCCACCTGTCAGCCACAGCCCACCCCTCGCCATCCTGGCCGGAATCATCCTGCTTCGGCGGGTCCCTGTGCTCCATGGGGAGCAACCCGCGCTAACTCCGCCTGGGTGGGCAGAGCCTTGTGGGTGGAGCACCAGGCATAGGAGAGGCGACTGGGCCAGCTGCAGTGGGACTGGGGTTGCGGGGGAGAGGCAGGTGGGCGGGGAGGTGGGGACTGGCAGTGCAGAGAGCAGGAGGGCCGGGGCAGCAAGCAGGCCGCACAGCTGGAGACCCCGTGTGCCTTGGGGAAGGGCTGGACTTTATCTGCAGCAGCGGGAGCCAGAGAAGGTGTGCTAGCAAGGTAGTGAGCCAGCAGGCTTGCTTGCGGGAGCATCCTGGGGGCTGCAGGCTGGGGGTGGATTTGGGGCGGGGTGGGTAGAGAAGGGGTCAGGCAGGGGACCTGAGCCCTCGCTCCCAAGATCTCCTGAGACCAGGGGTCCCCGCTGGGGCTAGGCAGAGACTTTAGGCAAGACACGTGACTGCCCAGGGTAGGCTGAGTCCAGTCTAAGGGGTCACTGGAAGAGGGAGCAGGGAGATGGCCTGCGTCAGGGCAGCACCCACTCAGTGAAAGAGTCAGGACTGTGGGTCACGCCCAGGCTTGTAAGTGACCTTGGCTCTTGGCCTCACAGGCCTCCCCCTGTAAGACTCTGGAGCCGTAGGTGGGAAAAGCGGGATTTGGAGTAATGAGAACCTTGGAGGCATTTTCCTTGTCTATGTACCCCTCTTTTTCGCCTCCCTAAAACTCAAAACACACGGATTCCACCAGGGCTGTGTGCTCTGCTGGCTTCCCTGTTTTCTGACTGGATGAAGGGGCGGATGGCCGGAGGGGTGGATGCATGAATGAGTACACAGGTGGGTGGATGGGTGGGCGGGAGGGGAGAGGAAGAGGCAGGTAGACGTGTGTCCGGGAGGCAACAGCTGGAGCAGGGAAGGGGATGAGCTCCACTGAGCGCCTTCCTGTGCCCGGGCAGGGCGGGTGCTGCCTCTTTCAAATCTTGCATCCGCCGAGGAGGCAGGCTCTGTCAGAAGCCCCTTGCACTGGGGTTCAGCGAGTTGGGGTGCCCTGGGTACCTGCTCAGCCTGCCTCAGCTGCATCTGGCTCCCTGCAGCCAGTGCCCAACCACAACCCCTGGATGCTGCTGTACTTCATCTCGTTCCTGCTCATCGTCAGCTTCTTCGTGCTCAACATGTTCGTGGGCGTGGTGGTGGAGAACTTCCACAAGTGCCGGCAGCACCAGGAGGCTGAGGAGGCGCGGCGGCGTGAGGAGAAGCGGCTGCGGCGCCTGGAGAAGAAGCGCCGGAGTGAGTGCTGTGCCTGGCCAGGCCTCTTCTGCCTGTGGCCAGGGGCTCTTGGCACTGGGGCTGGGGCCAGGGTCTGGGCCTCTGGGATTTCGGAGCTGAGGGGAATGTAGGAGACAAACCCTGTGCCCTTCCCTGCCCCTGGCATCTCTGCAGGTGGCCCCAGTCCCTTGGGGGTCCGCTCAGCATTGCGTGGTGACACTACCAACAACCTGAAAGGGGCCGGGGAGCCCAGCACAGGCAGAGGGCACAGGCAGACCCCTCTCCTGCCTCAGCACTCCTGGAGCCCCTGGCATGGGCACATGTGGGGTAGATGGGGGAATCGGTGTCCTGGCGTCACTGCCACCCTCCTCATGACTTCCTGTCCCTCTGGAGCCCTGGCTGGGCAGAGGAGACCTAACTGACCCCCGGGGCCTGGGGTGGACTGACATCTCTCCCCCTTCCCTCTGGCAATCTCTCTGATGTGCTCTGTCTGGCTGCCCCCACCCCCAACCTTCTGTGCCTGTCCCCCTCCCTGCAGAGGCCCAGCGGCTACCCTACTATGCCACCTACTGTCCCACCCGGCTGCTTATCCACTCCATGTGCACCAGCCACTACCTGGACATCTTCATCACCTTCATCATCTGCCTCAATGTGGTCACCATGTCCCTGGAGCACTACAATCAGCCCACGGTGAGCCCTGGCCCAGGGTCACACAGGGAGCAGGGTCCCAGCGGGGTCCCAGCAAGTCCCCAGCCCAGGGACAGTGTGGGGTGGGATCTGAGCAGCCCCCCACATGGGATCCTATACCAGGAGCTCACAGCCTGGTGGGATGGATGAGTCAAAGGGAAAGGTCATGTATTGCTGGTAAGCAGGGAGATGACATTTGGCACAGGGTAATGTGGCTGTGGTGTGTCAGTGTGACTCTTTACAAGGCAGCCTGCAGATGTTAATTCTCTAATCCTCACAGTGGGCCTAAGATGCGGTGAGGGCTTTATAGATGAAGAAGCTGAGGCTTGGTGAGGTGAAGTATGCCCCCAAATTCCTCAACCAGGACACAGTGGAGCCAGAACTAGGATTGGCATAGAAATATGATTGGCATTCAAGGCTGTTCACGTGGCCTCTGCTACCACCTGGGTATAAGGAGGGGCATTTCAGGTGGCAGGACCATTGGGGACAAACACTGGGGTGGAGAAGGTAACCAGTTCACAGCTAGTTGCAGGTGTGTATGAGGGGTGTATAGAGCCAAGTATGTTCTAAAAAACTATTGGAATACATGAAAAAGAAGGGAGCAGAGCCTCTCGGTAAAGCACTGGCATCTTCTTTTCAGTACTAGGAGAGGAATATTATGAATGCAGGATAAAGGAAACAAGCATTGGCAGAATGAAGTAGTAATTGTAGAACTTCCTAATTAATGTGAAGAAATGGAATAATATTGTAATAGCTCGTATTTACCAAGTATTTATTCTGTGCCTGGTGTTGGACTATCAGTTCATTTAATTCTCACAGCAACTTTCTGAGGTGAGTACTATTCTCATCCCCAATTTTAAAGATTGGGAAATAAGTCCCAGAGAGGTCAAATGACTTGCCCTAGATCACACAGTAAGATGTAAGTGCCAAGCCAGGATGCAAATTTAGTAGTCTGGCTTATAATTCTTACTCTTAACCATTACTCCACATTGCCTTCAGAGAGGAACACCTGTAACAAATCAGAAATAAAGAAGGGGGAACAGCAATGTGAAAATGTAAAATAGATAGTATATATTATGTAAGATAGAAGGAATAAAAAGCAGTTACATAAGTCTTTGCACTAAATGTGAATGGACAAAATTCTGCCCTTAAAAGGCAGAGACTTTCTGACTGGAGGAAGGCAGAGGAGAGCGGCTCATGGGGCTGTGATTCTCTTTGTCCCCCCACCCCCCACCCAGTCCCTGGAGACAGCCCTCAAATACTGCAACTACATGTTCACCACTGTCTTTGTGCTGGAAGCTGTACTGAAATTGGTTGCATTTGGTCTGAGGCGCTTCTTCAAGGACCGGTGAGTAGCTGGGCTAGGTCAGATTAGCACAGGGCGGGCTTTAGGATGGGGCAGTAGGAGGAGGGGAACCAGTAAGTGTCTGGGGATTGATGGCTCAGTGCCCCCTGGGTGCTGCCTATAATCCTGAACAGGAAGTGGTTGTGGTCCCACCTGCTGGGTGCCAGGCATTCTATCAGATATCCTCAACTTATTTCCCATGGGTCCTCCAAACCCCACAGTCAGAGCAGGGTGCACTCAATGCCAGTCCTTAACAAATAAAGCTTAGAGAGTTTGATGACCTGGCCCAGGGTCACACAGAGGGAGCAGCTGGCTCAAACTTCAGAGTAGAAGTCAGAGCCCATTCCTCCTCTCCTGCAGGAGAGCAGAGATGATTTAATCTGGTTAGCCTCTTGCTTGCGAATTGGGAGGCTGTGGGGGCAGAGGGAGCCAGACCCAATGGAGTTAGGAGGGACTAGTAGGGAGAATGGTCACATCCCCAGGCTACACAGGAGAGTAGAGAGCAGCGAAGCTTCTAAACTAGCATGCCGCCTGCACTTTTCACTTTTTCCCTCCTCTGCTTGCCGAGCAGGTGGAATCAGCTGGACCTGGCCATTGTGCTGCTGTCGGTCATGGGCATCACACTGGAGGAGATCGAGATCAACGCAGCACTGCCTATCAACCCCACCATCATCCGTATCATGCGGGTTCTGCGCATCGCCCGGGGTGAGGGGCGGGGATGCACGGGGACCCACAGGGGCAGGATGGGAATCTGGACAATCGCCAGGGGAGTGCATTCGGGGGTGTGGGAGGAAGGGATACATGTGGGAGAGGCAGAGTATGTGAGCGCCATGGCTTCCTGATGAATAGGGACAATAGGAGCCAGGAGGAGCACACCCCCAAAATAAACACACATTTGTCCCTCATCTGCAGGCAGCGCCCCAGCAGGCTGTAGTCCACCTCCTTATAACTCTGTGACCCATGTGGTCCAGTGCAGCCAGGGAGACACCGAAAGGAACCCTGCTTCCTCAAGGGTATTACTCTAGTTCTGGCTGGGACACACCATCCTTACCCCTTGAAATACCCTTTGTCCTTCTAGAAGCCTCTCTCTCGCCCCAAGTCTGTCCCTTCACTTTCAAACACCTCTGTGTTTGTCCATCAGCCTCCTACTCTGGCCTTCCCATTGCCTCCAGACTCCCAGCTGGGCATGCGTGTGGGGAAGTGTAGTGCTAGCACCGGAGGCTGCTTTAGCTGGAGGGGACGGCGTTCACTTAGGGGTCATTTTTGTCTCCTGGTGGTGAATCACGTTCACGCACATACTGTCTTCCTCCCTTCCCGTGGAGCGTGCCCACCTCTTGGACTCTTGCACTGACAGCCACACCTTGTTCACGTGTTTTTGTGCTCACCCCCACTCACAGAGCTGTCCCATTGCTTGCATGTTCTCCTTCGCATTCACACGTGCACACACAGGCACACACACGTGCCCGCCGGCAGGGGCTGAGCGGTGGCCTGGGTCTCGCCCACAGTGCTGAAGCTGTTGAAGATGGCCACAGGCATGCGTGCCCTGCTGGACACCGTGGTACAAGCGCTGCCCCAGGTGAGAGCTGGATGGAGCCTCGCTGTTGTGGGGGTCATGCTGGGCCCTGGTGACACAGACCCAACCTCCTTTACCTCCTCCCAAGCCGGCCCAGAACTGGGGCAGAGTCCTGTGCAGATGTGAAGTTTGATCCAGAGTAGAAAGAGGGAGAGGGGCCTCTCTGCCCCTTCTTTTCTGACTTGGACAAGTGGATGCCACACCTACTCTGTTTCCAGCCCTGGCAGGCACTGAGAGCCTGCATTCTGCCCACTGGAGTCCCCAGCCTGGGGCAGGGGGGGACATGGATGCCTCAGGAAAACATGGTTGGGGGTGCCCACAGGTGCTGGGGAGAGAAGGGTCCTGGGAAAACCAGGAAGGGTTTTACGGAAAGGGGGCTTTGAGCTTCACCTTGAAGTATGGCTTGGCACAAGGTGGTGATGTGGGTGGAGAGGTTCAGATGTGACATTCTGGGTGGGGCAGTGTGGGACCCTGACCTGGTGGGAACCCCTGGGGTGTTAGGAAGGCCCTGCTCCATCCCGTCTGTCCCCATGGTCAGTAGGAGGGGAGGTAGGACCAGGATCATTTTATCCTCCTGGGAATTCTGTAGTCCACATCCTTCCCTCCCTGCTGTCCTGACGACTTAAGGCTCCCTCTTCCCTTCCTTCAGGGAGACCTCTGCTCTGAGGTGAGCCTCTTGCACATTTATTTATTCGTTGTGACTCTAGTCCTAAGGAAATGTAATCAATCTTAAAAGACGCAGATACTACATGCCACAAACGAGGATAAAAGATCATCAGCCTGGGGAAGGTGAGAAAAGCTAATGCTCTCAGGGACCTGGGCTAAGGATGTTAGTTGGTGTGAGCTTCCCAGCAGCCTAGTTGCAAAGGGAAATCGATATGGCTCCCATCAGGACTGGAGCAAAGCAGAGTGTCCATTCAAAGAGATGTGATTCTTCCTGCCATTATATCCCCTCAGAGGCATTTGTCACGTGAAAACGGGGTGCCCTCTGGGCTGGGCTGGTGGGGTGTGCAGACAGAAAGTGGGTTGGAGCCCAGGCTCAAGCCACCCTGCCAGAGGGCATGGCCTGGTTGTCTGTGAGACCTTGGACTTGTGATTCAACTGCTCATGCCTCAGCTTCCTTGCCTGTGAAATGGGGGGTGAAAATAGTACTTGTGAGGTTTAAAATAGTTTTAAATAGTTCAAGCTTGCAAAGCACTGAATGGGATCTGGGTCTCAGGAAGTGCCTGTATAAGAGTCTGCTAGGGTGGGATGGGGTGTGTTCCCCACAGTCTGACCCCTGGGCATCCTTGGGGTATTTGAGATGGCACAGGGTACATGGAGATGCCCAGGGCCCTCAAACAGGAAATACCTGATAGTAATTACAGTGACGTCAATGCTTAAGGGCATCTCATGCCAAATACCATGTGGCATGGGAGGGTTACCCTGAAAATCTGTTAGCTTGTGCCCATTCTGTTGCGTGGATATTGGCCATTTCCTCAGGAGTGTATGAAGTGTTAGGAAATGAAATTTCAGCCTCCTCCCTCCAGACACTCCCCATACAGAGGGAGGAAGCTTCAGGGAAGGCGTCTCAGAGGAGGTGAAATGGACTCTGAAGAGGCGGGAGGAGGTGAAAACAGAGGGTCTTGTCTGCAGAGGGAACAGAATATGCAAACTGGAGTCTGCTTTCCATGTGGTGGGAGTTGGGTTGTAAGATCAGCGGGAGGGGTCCCCAGGTTCCAGCTGGCAGTGCCCGGGGCTTGGCTCAGTGGCAGTGGACACATGGGAACTTCTGGACAATGGAGATTGCAAGCAGGGCTACCTTTCAGAAGGCTGCCCTGGTGACTGGGAGGGGAATGGATTGGAGGGAGAGGCTGGAGGCAGGGGCCAGGGAGGCATTGCTGTGAGGGCCGACCCTGGAGGATGCCGAGGTGTAGGGAGGGGACTGACAGAGAAGGTAAAGTCCACACTGGTGAAGAGAGGCCGCCAGCTGGACCGCAGTGGGGAGGCTGTGCTGGGGCCGAGGCCCCTGTCCTTGCGGGCTGTTTGGCCCTCACCCCTTGCTCGGGCAGTGCTGGGCAAACGCTTGTTTCATCAGTGAGCGGAGCATCGTTTAGTCAGACTCTAGTGATGTGACCGTAGCACGGCTCAGAAGGGAACCCCGCCTCTGGAGCCGAGAAGCACGAGGAGCCTGTCATGAAGGTGGCTTATTTTCCAGCAGTTAACGGGGACGTCTTCCCTGCCGTTCATGAGGCCTCCGGGAGGGACTGCGTTTCCGGGCACGAGGTGCTTGCGTCTTGCCCACAGCGCAGAGGCAGCCTCCAGTGCATGGGTGTGCTTGAGATGGGTTTGGAATCTGGGACGCTTTCCTCCCACAGGAGCTATGGGATGGGGGTGGCTGAGCTTGCAGGAGGCTTGGGGCCTGCAGGCCTACATAATCCCTGCACTCACTCCTCACGCGCCAGGCCCCATGCTGGCCTGACAGGGCAGATTTTACTTTATCCTGCCACGTCCCTATTCTCATGGATCCCCCCCAGACCAGCAAGTGACAGGGACAGGGACAGTGTGATACACTTACTGTTAAGCTGCATCCCCAGCTGACTGGAGGAATCCAGACAGGCTTCATGGAGGAGGTGGCATTTTTGCTTCTGTCCGTCTCCATTCTTCCGTGGGACCTTGCTAAGTACAAAGAGGTGTATGGAATAGGGATTGAGTACGTGGGTCCTGGGACCAGCTAGCTTGGTTTGAGTCCCAGTCCCACCCCTTGTTAGCTATGTGGCCCTGAGCAAGTTACTACATTCTGTCTGTCTCTGTCTGTATGAAGGATGGAGTAAAAGTCCACAGAGCTTTGTGTGGAGTAAGTGAGCTAAAGAACCTAAAGTGTTTGAAGCCTCATGGCTCATAGAAAAGACTCCGCACACCTGTTATTACTACCTTGTGTCCTGTGCGGGCTGTGGCCATTGGGGCCTGGCAGATGGGGCACAGAGCCCGCTGCCCTGACCCTCAGGCTGCCCTTGTCCTGGAGCCTGCTGGCCCCCACCCTCACCCTCCCCAGGCCTCAGCCCTGCCCCCCAGCCCTGGCCCAGCCCCACTGCTCTCCCCACAGGTGGGCAACCTGGGCCTCCTCTTCATGTTGCTATTCTTCATCTACGCGGCCCTGGGCGTGGAGCTCTTTGGAAAGCTGGGTAAGTGACTCCCCACACAGCCTGGAGCTGCGGGTGGGTGAGGGGAACAGATCTAGAGGACACCCCCTCCCCCAATACACACCCAGTTACATTGGAGCCTGTTGGGAGCTGCTCCCCAGCCCACGGCCCAAGGGGAGGTAGATGGGAGATCCCTGGCTGGCCACACCCTCCTCGTGGGGTGAGTAGGAGCTTTTGGGAGATGCTAACTTGGCTCCTCAGGACTGTGCGGTAGACTCCTAGCTTGCAGCCCCCCCAGCTGCCTGACCTCCTGGAGTCACTCCCTTTAGCCCCAACTGCTCGCTCCTGAGCTGAACCAGCACCGCCCTAGCCAAAAGAAATGAGGCCGAGGGCCGTACCGCCCACACCAAGCCAGCCTCGCCTCACCCCATCTTCCCTTGGGGGTGGAGGGGGCAAGCTTACCTGTCTGAGCCCAGCTTGAATGCCACCTCCCTGAGCCTCAGTGCCTCCATCTGTGTACTGGGCACCGGCCACCCGCCCCGCTGGGGTTGCAGTGAGGATCCTGAGGTGAGGCTGGGCCCCTGGAGCTGCAGGGGCCCTGCAGCCAGCCTCCTCTCCCCTGCAGTCTGCAATGATGAGAACCCGTGTGAGGGCATGAGTCGGCACGCCACCTTTGAGAACTTCGGCATGGCCTTCCTCACGCTCTTCCAGGTCTCGACCGGCGACAACTGGAACGGGATCATGAAGGTACTGGTGGCGGCCGGGTGCCAGAGATCAAGCCGGTTCCCAGAGTGGTGCCGGTGCTGACTGTGGGGTCCCAGGGCCCTTGTTGCACGCGGAGGGGGAGGCAGGGTGCGGAGATGCAAAGGGACCGTCCCAGGCCCCACAGCACAGGGAGGTGGAGACCGGGTCAGAGCAGATTCTCTATGGCCCCGGCATGCTGTGCTGGGGCCGGGCCCGGATCCCGGGGCACAGACTGCCCATGGCCTGAGGGGCTGCCCCTGCGTTGGCTGCGCTGCCTGGGGTCCAGCGAGGGCCAGCTGGGCTGGGGGCAGCGCAGGGCTAGGGCCTGCCCCTCGAGACCCCCGGGCGCTCTGCTGCCCCGCACAGGACACGCTGCGGGACTGCACCCACGACGAGCGCAGCTGCCTGAGCAGCCTGCAGTTCGTGTCGCCGCTGTACTTCGTCAGCTTCGTGCTCACCGCCCAGTTCGTGCTCATCAACGTGGTGGTGGCCGTGCTCATGAAGCACCTGGACGACAGCAACAAGGAGGCCCAGGAGGACGCCGAGATGGACGCCGAGCTCGAGCTGGAGATGGCCCACGGCCTGGGCCCCGGCCCTCGGCCGCCCGCTGGCTCCCCGGGGGCGCCCGGCCTAGGGCCCGGGGGGGCGGGCGGCGGGGGTGACGCCGAGGGCCGCCTGTGCCGGCGCTGCTACTCTCCAGCCCAGGTGGGTGAGGGCCCACAGGGCACCAGGGTCCCAAGGGTGGGCGCCAGGCCGGAGGCCTCGGGCAGAGACCCCCGTGCTTTCGGACCCCTCCCTGCTCAGCTGCCTGGAAGGGGTGACCCTGGGCAGGGCATCGTCCCAGGCCGCGGGCACAGAGACCCCGGAGGGCAGCTGAGCCCCGCCCGCCCCCACCCCCACTCCCGGGACCCAGCCGATAATCCCGCCTGTCCCCACCCCGTCCCCGTCCGCCTAGGAGAACCTGTGGCTGGACAGCGTCTCTTTAATCATCAAGGACTCCTTGGAGGGGGAGCTGACCATCATCGACAACCTGTCCGGCTCCATCTTCCACCACTACTCCTCGCCGGCCGGCTGCGACAAGTGTCAACACGACAAGCAAGAGGTAAGGACAGTGGGCGGAGGCCGCGCCAGGGAGGGGGCCAGCCGAGGCGCGAGCCGGCTCCAGGCAGAGACCCAGAGACCTGCTGGGGCGGCGCCCGGGGGCACCCATCGGGGGATGCGTGGACAGGCTTCCGTGTTCACAGCCCACACAGACCGCCTGCCTCCAGCCCGGCCCAGCCTGGCACGCCTCTGCCCACCGCGCGGGGCCATCTCCCCCTGCCCAGGGCCGGGCTCGCGTCCATGCTCAGCACCTCTCTGGACTGCTCCGACCCCAGCATCTTTCTGGACAACTAGGCCCTGAACCTAGGAGCCCAGGGCCCAGGCCTGTGCCGCTCCTGCCCCAGTAATGAGGCCACGGCCCGTCCCTGCAGGTACAGCTGGCCGAGACGGAGGCCTTCTCCCTGAACTCGGACAGGTCCTCCTCCATCCTGCTGGGTGACGACCTGAGTCTCGAGGACCCCCCTGCCGGCCCGCTAGGCCCCAGAGACAGCAAGGTGAGTAGCCCTGGAGGGCTCCGGGCAAGCCCGGCCTCCGGCTGCCCAGCCGGAACACTGCTTCTTGCCTTGTGCCACTTGAGTGGCACCTGCTGTGTGCCCGGCCCTCACCTCCTGTTAGTCAGATAAGGACAGTGGGGCTCAGAGAGGGGGAGTGACTACCTGGAATCACACGGCTTCGTGCCCTGCCAGGGCTCCAGGCAAAGCTCCTGCCATCTGGGCTGTACCTTGTTGCTTTGGGTCTTTTTTTAAAAAGCTATTTAAATGGGGTTTGTCCCTGGCAGGCGAACCTCGCAGGGGACCAGGAGGCTGACGAGAGCGGGGAGGCGTCCCATCAGGTGCGAGCGCCTACTGTATGCCGGGCATTTGTATACACTCATGTGCCCCTGCTCCCGGCCGTGGGGATGATGTGGGCCCATTTCACATTCGGGGGCTGGGGGCTCGCCCACGCCGCACAGCAGGAACGGCAGAGCAGGGGACTCAGTCCCCAGCCTGCGTCCCGAGGTGGTGAGGAGCACGGGGCCCAGGGTGCCGTGAGGCCTGCAGACTCAAGTGGGAGCCCCGCCTCCAGGCCTGCGAGCACCACTCAGGCTGCGTTTGCCCCCACTGGGATGTGAGGGGAGCCTGGCCCCAGGTAGGGACACAGTGGCCCTGCTCTTGGAGAGCCTCTGTTCTCGAGGTCCCTGGGGTGCAGGGGTTGGGCACCACTGCCCCCGACTCCCACTGCAGGGGTGGGTCTCCCCATCCCTCCCTGTCTACCCTGTTCTCTCTCTGACAGCTGACAGCTCCCGGCTTCCACCACCCCCTTACTCAGCCCCTTTCCGCAGCTCCCTGCACCCTGTGCTGTTCTCCCAGACAGGATGTCGGGGTGTGTGGGTTTGGGTGGGCACATTCTGGTTTTATTCAAGTCAAAGAGGCCCCTCTGCCTGGGGATGCCAACGGATTCTGGGTGCCAGGCCTAGGAAGAAGGGGTTCCTTTCCTTCTTCATGGAGGTGAAAACCGAGGGTCAGCAAAGGGAGGGGACCCGCCCAAAGTCATGCTCCAGGAGGCCCTGCACAGCTCAGCTGTCCTCCGATGCCCTCACAGCCCGGACATGGTGCGCATGGGCTGCAGAATGCGGAAAACCCTGCATTGCCCTCAGGGGTGTCAGAGCCACGTGGGGAGTGAGTGGGAAATTGCCTGGGACATCAGAGAGGGCTTCCCGGAGGTGGGACCCTTTCACCTGGGTGCTGGAAGACGGTGATTGTTGGCCAGGTAGCAGAGGCGAGAAAGCCATTCTAGGGAGTGAGGGTGGCCCGGGAAAAGGGCCGTGGAGCCTGGCATGACGGCAGCTGTGGCAGACTGGACCTCTGTCCCCCCTCCACTGGCCTGCTCCTCTCACCTCTCTTCTCACGCAGGGGGAGCCAGACCCTCCGGAACCCGTGCATGTGGGGGATGTGGACGAATGCCTCTTCCCCTTGCCCAGCGTGGCTGCCTCCTCGGGGCCGGAGAACTTGCTGTGTGAGATGGAGACGATGGCCTTCAACCCTGTCCGGTCCTGGCTGAAACACGAGAGCAACCCAGGTGAGGGGCGGGAGCCCCAGCAGCTCCCGCAGCACTGTCCTGGGTGTCAGCTCGGAGAGAGCTGCCTGAAGTTTCTTTCCTTAGTATTTTGGCCCATCCTACTCTATTGAGTCCAGAAAGAACCAGATGGGTAAAGCTGACAATAAGAGATGGGGATGAGATGACAATTATACTAGAACCTGGGCCGAGGGAGGCTTCATGCTGAGCTTCCTAGGAGCTTTGGTGAAAAGGGAAACAGGCTGGCACATACACACCTCTTGTTATCAAGTAAAAGGAAAGCTGTCAGATGATTTTTGAGGTGTCTACTGCAAAGATCTTCACCAAAGGTGAGGATGCACAACAGAAAGCCTGGCGTCTTCAATATCCCTTGTGTAAAGTGCCCTGATGCTTATCCTTCGGCCCTGCCCTTAGCGTCCTAAGCACTTTGGGTTTGCTTGTGTGTGGGCATGAGGGCAGAGGCCTGTCCACTCCTGCTCGCCTTCCCCCCCAGTCCTCTTGGTGAGTGAGTGTGGTGGGAATGTGGTTACGCATCACTGGCAGAAAGCTGAGCTCAGCAGAAGAGAGAGCCCCTGAGACCCTGAACCCACCTCAGATATTACTCTGGGAGGCCTTGCGTTGGTGCTGGGGGTGGGGTGACTTTTTCTTTAGGGAGAACCCTCCCCAAAGCTGACCGCCCCTTGACTGGACATGATGGCTGAGGTCCTAAGACCCCAGACTTCCTGAATCAAAAAGGCACAGGGCCCAAAAGCCCATCTGACTGACTGAAACTCCACCCCCTTCAGGCAGCCATTTAGTTGCATTTTCCTTAAAAATCAAGATGGTGTAGGGTAGGACCCCCCACCCCCACCCCCCTGGACTCTCGAGCTGCCCACCCAGTGCAGCTCGCACTAGCACGCTCTTGCTCCTAACGGGGACTCCACGGCTCAGAGAGGAGGCCGGCCTTGGAGCGATGTCAGTCTGTCCGTCGGCCCCTCCCTGCGGCCCACCGGGGGCCACTCCCCAGCGCCCTCTCCTCCCTCCCAGCTGCACCCCAGAGCCCCTTCTCCCCGGACGCCTCCAGCCCACTCCTGCCTGTGCCTGCGGAGTTCTTTCACCCCGCCGTGTCTGCCAGCCAGAAGGGGCAGGAGAAGGGTGCCAGCACTGGGACCCTCCCCAAGATCGCCCTGCAGGGCTCCTGGGCGTCGCTGCGGTCGCCGAGCGTCAACTGCACCCTCCTCCGGCAGGTACGGCCCCTCGCTCTCAAGGTCTGCCCGCAGGGGACGTCTGAGTGGGGCCTTGAGGTCCAAGGTGGAGCATCTGGGGACAGCAGAGTATGGGGGTGGCCTAGCCAGGGCCCTGAGGAGGGCCAGTGGGCTGTAGCTTGAGGGGATGCAGACGGGGTACTCGACGACTCTGGGGTGATGAGGGGGCTGAGGAAGGCGCCTTGGGTGCTCTGGGTGGGTGTGAGTAGGGGCATGATTAGGAATGGGAGTGGAGGGGCAGGTGGGAACTCTCAGCCTGCAGAGCCACCTCTATGGAGTGGGCCAGGGTCACCCTTGGGCACCCAGAACACCCCACAGACGGGGAGCAGAGGTGCCGAGAGTTCAGGTCAGGAGGGCCGGGAAGGCAGTGATGGGTGAAGCACATGTGTACCTAGGAGTGGGGGTGCGGGGAGGGCGGGGCCGGGAAGTGGGCTCTCGGGGGTGGGGTGGACTTTATTCCCAGTGAGCCCTGGAGTCTTTGTGCGGGGTGGGGGGGCAGGATCTGACTTGGGCTTGAGGGGGACCATGCTGGCTCCCCCGGGACCAGGGTGTGGCCGGGACAGGAGCCCCGTCAGAGGCTGCTGCAGGGGCCACCCTGAGAGGCCCTCAGAAGCCGGGACGGGTGGTGGTGGGGTGGCCTGGATGGGTGTGGGGGCGCCCGGCACAGGGCGGGAGCTGGGCATCCCGAGGACCGGGCAGCCGTGCGCCGGCGGGTCCCGGGATGGGCAGGGCTGGGCACACCGGCGACCCCGGTCCCCTCACGCTGCCCCACAGGACGCGCGCAGCGACTCCTCGCTGGAGGCCAGCCCCAGCAGCTCAGCCGGCAGCCTGCAGACCACGCTGGAGGACAGCCTGACCCTGAGCGACAGCCCCCGGCGCGCCCTGGGGCCGCCCGCGCCTGTCCTGGGCCCCCTGGCCGGCCCTTCGCCCACTGCCTGCCGCAGCCTTAGCCTGCGGGGCCGGGGCCTGTTCAGCCGGCGCGGGCGGCGCGCGCACCAGCGCAGCCACAGCAGCGGGGGCTCCACCAGCCCGGGCTGCACCCACCACAACTCCATGGACCCCTCGGATGAGGAGGGCGCGGGCGGCCGGGGCGGCGCGGGCGGCGGGGGCGCGGGCAGCGAGCACTCGGAGACCCTCAGCAGCCTCTCGCTCACCTCCCTCTTCGGCCCGCCGCCCCCGCCGCCCGGGCTCACGCCGCCCCGCAGGTTCAGCAGCACCAGCAGCTTGGCCGCCGGCCCCGGCCGCCCCCGCGCCCCCGCCGCCCGGCCCTGTGGCCTGGCCCGGAGCCCCTCCTGGGCCGCCGGCCGCAGCAAGGACCCGCCGGGCCGGGCAGAGTCGGCCGCTGGCCTGGGCCCGTCGCCCGGGAAGCTGCAGCCCGGAGACCCGGCCAGCAAGAGGAAGAGATGAGGGCCCCGGGCCCAGCCGACGCCCACCCGCCCCGTCTCACCTTCTTTACCTCAGGAGCCAGGGGCAGACAGCAATACTTGGCCCACACCCGGGCAGCGCGGCCGGCCAGCGCCAGGCTGCAGAGGGGTCTGGGCCGGCGGGGGCGCACGCGGCCGTCCCGGGCCCTCCCGCGCACACATATACATACGCGTGTCGAGAGAGACAGACATATAGAGATATTTATTTTTTTTACCGAGAGCCTATGACTTCCAGAAAGTGCTAACGTTGGGGCGTGTGGGCCGGGGCCCAGCGGGGCTTGGGCTGATGTTTCGGTCCCGGGCCAGACCCAGCTGGGGCGGCCGGTGCTGCTGGGGTGTCGGCCGTCCTGCTTCGGGTGTCGCCCGCGGTCGGTCGGTCGGTCGGGAGTGTCTTGGGGACTCCCCGGAGGCCCCGCAGCCGGCCGGGAGACAGGCCTGGGAGGAAGGTGAAATTCAGGGCGTGTTTCTTCCCCCTTGAAAGAAGCGCTGCTGAGGTCCTGCCCGCCCCTCCGCGTGTCGGGGTGTCTGTCTAGTTCCTGCCGTCTAGTTGTTGTAAACAGTCTTTGTAGCTGCCCCAGAGCACCCACACTCTTAGTCCCCCGGTTAGGTGTCTTTCTTTAGAAAAATCAGGGGTGAGTAGTCGTATTTTCCTAGGGAGGGTGGGGGGTGCCCAAGGCTGGGCAGGGGAGCCCCATGGGAGTCCCTGCCCAGCAGGCACTTTTGGGGGGGGTGTCTGCAGCTTTGCCCCCAGAAGGCTGAGGGCAGGGACCAAGACAGCAGAAGAGAGGAAAGGGGGAGGGGCGGAGCTGCCGGGAGACGCTCGCGGGGTGGGGGCCTGGCCTCGGCTGGCCTGGCTGCCCTGTGGGCACAGCTGGGCACTTTCATCAGCCCGGAGCTCGGACCATTCTAGAAGGTTGTACGCCCGGCCCTCCCTCCAGCAGCTCTACCCCCTCCCGTGGGGCTCAGGGTCAAGTGGATCTGACAGGATTCTGACGCATGGGGGCCCTGCCTGGGGCTGGGACCAGCTCCCCACACCCACCCCCAGCTGCTTGCTCTGGGCCCCTCACTCCCCCCGCCCCCCCTTCTCCAAAGCGGCAGATCAGGTGTCCTTACGGCAGTGCTTCCCAAACAGCACCGCAGACGGGTATTTTTTATTGGAATAGTTAAGCGTTTATTTCAGTATTTACTGGGGAAAACCCCAGCATGTTGACCTGTGATTTCACAGACGTGTTGCTTGGGTCCGGGCTGCGTTTTCAAGAGAGTGGACGCGAGTCAGCGGAAGAGGCAGAGGGGACGGGCGTTGTGCAGACGCGGAGGGAGAGGGTGGGACTGTGCTCAGCCTCATGGCCTTGGCCTTGGGGGTCTCCTCAGATGGCTTTGGCCCCACTAGGGGGGCCTTGCCCTGGTTCCCAAGCCCTGACCTTAAAGAACTAGACTTCAGGTGGGCGGGGGGCGGCTGCTCGGGTGGGCCCTGCATGTCTTCCTGCCTCGGCCTCCGAAGGGACCCCAGGCCCGGGCTCTGCCACGAGGGAGGAGGAAGCCTTAGATGAGCTGCTCAGCCCGCAGACCCTCCCCCTCCTTGCTGCCAGGGGGAGAAGGGCAGGGAGGGAAGTGAGGCCCTGAGAGGTGAGGCCGCCCGCCGGATCCCTGGGGTCCTGGCGGTGTGGGCACCTGAGGGCCTGGGACGTAAAAACGCCACCTGGATGCAAAGGCAGTGGGTTCAGGGTGTCAGCCTGGCCGAGGCCCCGCTGGCACCGTGGAGCTGGGCCAGCATGGGGGGCACATCAGATTCTGCCCCTGACTGCCGGGCAGCCCTGTCCTCACTCAGAAGAGCAGAGGGTGGGGTCCTTGAGGGCCGCTGTCGGTGTGCCCTCCTCCGGGCAGCGGCCACCGGGGCGAAGGGTCAGCTGGGGAGCAGGTGGACCTAGGGTTCCCCTCCGCCCCGCCGCTCGGCCCACACAGCGTGTCTGCCTCACCCTCCTGCGGCGGAGGCCGGCAGCACTCGTGGTATCGCGTCAGCGTGTTCCCCGGGAGGGGGTGTGGGGCCTGGGCGAGGGCCGTGGACCTGGAGGGCTGCGTGGAGGTGGGGGGGGGGGTGCGGGGGCCAGCACCGGTCAGAGCCTTGCGGAGCCCCAAGGAGTGTGCGCCCGCTCCACCCGCAGACCCGGGAGGTGGTTCTGGTGTCACGGGGCAGGGTCAGACCCGGGCTTGTGGGACAGGAACCCGCCCCTTTGCCCTGAAGCGTGTGACCCCAGAATGAGCAGACGGGCCACGGCGGCAAGGGGCGGCCGAGCTCAGGTGTGGAGGGGCGTCTGCAGGTGGGGAGAGGGCCTGGTTCCTGAGGCCCCCAGATGCCCCTCCCAGGCGCCCCAGGGGAGGACTCAGGCTCTGACTGGCCAGAAAGAGCCAAGCTGGGTAAGCACTGGGCCCTGGGCCCTGCGCCTCCCCTTCCTGCGGCCTGTCTGTCACTAAAGCACAATCTCACCCTAACCGCGGGGCCGGGGAGTGTGCCACCGGGCCCCGAGATGTATGTCCTGCAGAGGAGACGCTGGCGGGCACCTCAGTCTGCACTGAGGGACCCAAGGCCGGGCAGGGTACCCTGTTAACCCTCTTCCTCTTCTCTGCCTGGGCTTTGCCCACACCAGGCCGCCCCCTAACGGAGGAGGAAGCCTGCACAGTATCAGCCTGTCTGCCTGTCGACCCCCCAGCACCCCTGCCCCAGCCTTCTGTTTCCAGGGCCACCTCCAGCCCCCTTTTGCTGCGCCGTGTCCGGGCTTGGGGTCTTCGAAGCCCACGTTTAGCCCAGATACACATACTCTTTGTCTTTGTGCAATAATCCGTGTTCCTGGCAGAGCCGGGGCCGAGCTGGGGCTGTTGCCTCCAGGAAGCCCTCGGCCTGGCCCTGCTGCTGTGACTCGCACTCCCAGTCGCTGTACAGTTTCTATGGTGTGAATGAACTTCCCCCCCTAGTTGCTGATGCGCTGGTACCTGCTGGCCCAGATGGCCCGGGTGTAGAGAAACCAAGTGGCCATGGCCACCCTGTTGTTTTGAATAAAAACCCAGAAGCCTATTTCAGAATTTCCCTGTGTGTCTGTGGAGTTCTTTCCCTGGTGGGGTTGAGGTGCGGGATCTTCCGGGGCTGGGTGGGTGTGTGATTTCTCTCGTGCTCAGGCTGTGGGTCTGGGGTCTGGGCCTAGAGAAATGCCCCAGGGAAGGGGTCCAGGTGGGAGGCTGCAGGGCTAAGGCGGGTGGCGGGGGAGGCAGGGCCTGGCTCTCATGATCTGCGTGAGAGGGTCACACAGGAATAAAATTCTCCCCACTTGGCACTGTTTCCTGGAGACTGATGATGGATATTATCAGGAGTGTTTTGGCTGCAAATGACAAAAACCTAACTAAAAATAAAAGAAAGCCAGAGAAAAGAGAGAGTAGAAAAGAGGAGAGAGAAAAGAGTGGAGGGAGGAAGAGGAGGGAAGGAGGGAACGGGAGGAAGTAGTGTGAAGTTCAGGGGTGGGTTGACTTCAGGCATAGCTGGATCAAGGCGCCATATAGATGGCACTAGAATAAACCTAGTGCTCCTAGTTCTTTCCACCTCTTGGCTCTACTTCTTTTTGCCTTTGCTTCCTTCCTCACCTTGTGACCATCAGCAGCCCAGCCTTCTGGCCTGTCCACCCCTCCCTAGATCAATGAGTGCTTCTCTGCCTACATTCTGGCCAAGTTCATGGACCCTCACGTGTTGGCTTGGGTACCTACCTTGGAGATGCCTGCTCTAGAGGCCAGGCCTGCGTGCTGGGTCTGCTCCAGGCTCTGGAATAGCCCCCAGCCAGGGCTGCCCAAGGAAAGGGCGGTCCAGAGAGGCTGCCTGATGGACTCGGGATTGTGCAGGGAGGAGACGCGGGGATGCCGGTCACTGTGCGCACCCGGCTCCCTCCTTGGCGTGGCCTGGGGCAGAGGTCGGCTTTGTTTTTCTCTCCCTTACCCGTTAATAATGGGATTAAAAGTAAGTTGCTGCCAAGGAGAGAGGCTGACTTAAAAGGAAAAACCCAACCCAGGAACATTTTAAGAGAATGAAAAACTTCAGCCATCAGCACTTTTTATTTAGACCTGAATTCATGAATTTTAACCAAATAAACACTGGCATGTTAGGTATTAATATATGTGCGATTATGCAAACCACTATTATGGCTGTAATGAAAATGAGCTGCTGACTTGGGGGTGGCTTTCCAGGAGGGAGGCATCCTCCCGTTTTCAGCGCGGTGACCTCGGATTGCCGTTGCCATGGGAACAGGGGAACAGGGCCGCCGTGGGAATCTGTGGACAGGAGGCTGGGCCTGTGGGGAGGGGCAGACCTGTCCCCTGGGCACCGCCCAGTGTCTGAGAAGGGAGGACAAATCACCAGTGTGGGGGGGCCGGGGGCCGACCAGCGGCACTCAGCACCCCCAGGTCAGCCACACCCTCTCACTTTCCTTGACAACCCTGGGCTGGGGGAAGGGGGGGGGTCGTTCTTTCCATGTGAGTAAACGGTGGTCAATCGCGCACCTACTAGGCGCAAGGCCTGTGCCCAAGACGCAGCGGCGGCAGGTCCCGGGGCAGGCACGAGAGCTGGTGGGTTCAGAGCCTGCGAGTGGCCTGGAGGCGCCGGAGCAGACAGACCAGGCCACGCCAGGCCGGGCCATGGGAGAGGCTGGGGGCAGGAAAGTCCCCCACCGGGGAGGTCAGGGAAGGCCCCTGGGGGCAACCCTGGGGCCCAGGGTTGCCTGGAGAACAACGGAGGAGGGGGGACGAGGGGAAAGACATCGTCCCTTAGAGAAGAGTTGTCAGAGAAACACGGCGCCCACTTCCGCTTCAGCTGCAGGGCCTTGAGTGAGCTTTCAGTGTCAGTCTGTCCCCCCAGCACCGGGGAGAAGCGGACACGGAACCCTGATCTGTCGTTACCTGAAAGTCGAGTTCTTCTGGGCAGCGTCCGGCGAGCCTCTGGGAGCAGAC